AAATATCTGAGGGCAGGGAATCTAGTGATTGATACTATGAGCAACGGTTTATGTCAATGGGGTACCATGACCTACCATCAACCAAGTCACTGACCCTGACCACCTGGTCATCTGGTAGTATATCTTATGACCAGCAAAGGTTGTTGTTGACCAATTTTAAGGCCAGACCAATTTTATTTCTTGTTTTACTGGTCCGCCTGTCATATTTGTTCAAGAATAAGAAAAAAATTAAAATTAATTGTCCCTGCTCAAAACATATAATCCTAATGTTTTCATGGGCCAAAAATGTAAACTTACAAGAAAATTTTGTTTTTAGAATTTTTTTGCCCCATATACACTTAAAAAATTGCCAAAAGAAAATACTTTGAGTATTTAGAAGTAATATTACTTTGACTGGTGATTTTATTTTATTCTGCCTTTAGGTTTTCTGAGGACAAAAATCCGTAAAACAAGAAATAAAATTGGTCTGGCCTAACCTGAAAACCCTACAAATACCTGGTGAACACCAACATATGTAAACTGTAGGGCAGGATCTTCCTCACACAAGTATACACACTAAACTTAGGCAGAAGGCTAAAGCAATAGACACAATGCTAAATCACTTACAGGAACCATATAGATGGTGCTTAAAATACCTGGAAATGAAACATATCAACAACAAACAGATTGGCAGGTTTTTCATTTTCTCTTGAATGTTTATTAGCCATGATTGCCACCAATATTCACATGGTCAGTTTAGGAAACCTAAATAAATAATATACAATAATCCAAAACTGCAGTTGACAAAATCACTTGGTATGAAAGGGAGATAATTTATTGTTACATAACATGACTAAATGCTTAAAATGGCACAATATTGTTGCAAATAAATATCAGTATAAACAGCACTTTACACATCTGGAGGAGGAAATGTTACTAAAAGCACCTTAAAGAAGATATATAATAAAGGATAACAAAACAGGAAACAAAACCGAAGAATCCAGGGATAAACAAAATAGTATACAAATTGAATGCACTGATCATATAGAATAAACAAAACAGTCTATCCATAATTTGTTTTGACACATATTCAAATGGCATTGGCGAAGAAGATTTGGCAAAACATTGAGATCTGGTGTCTGGAATGTAGACAAGACATACAGTGAAACCTTGTCAAAACAGACACTTTCAATACAGACCACTGTATGTTTAATCATTACCTCTGGCAACACAGCTAATCTGAACAAAATATTGCTTTACTGCTGTTGTTCAATGCCGATAATTCATTATCATCATCATCATCATCATTATCATCTTCATCATCATTATCATCATAAATAAGAACATCATACATTTCATACGAAGGATCATGAAGATTGTCCAACTAAATCTGTAAATTACAGAAGCATAAGTGCATAATTAACATGGCAAGAGTATTGGACATCATTATGTCGGTGGATTAAGGTAAAACATGAGAAGACAGACTTAGGTTACCGTTGTAAACATAAATATAGATGGCATTTGACATAATGAAAGCTGTTGAATAGGGATGTCATGATACATAAGTTTCATGAATTGGTACGTATCACGATACCCATGTAACGATTTGATACATATCATGATACCTATTTTCGTATCATTATTGAGTAAACTTAGTTGAACATTAATATTACATATTTAAAAATTGTCCATGAAAAGATCAATATTTTTGATTCTCAGAGATAAAAAAGTTCCAATTTCCCATCTTTGTGCATGAAAAATAGTCATTTATAACTCTCATAACATCAAAAAACATGATACAATTGGAAAATGTAAACGATACACAAACATATTTAAACCGACACTTTCAAAACTAAATATCAATACAGTTTTGAATGTATCGATAATTGTATCCTCTTAGAAAAAGTATGTATGCATCGTTGTATCGTGGCATCCCTACTGTTGAATGTTTACAGCACCACTCCTGGCTAACTTGAGAAGTTTGTGATTTACTAACAGACTATGTCAAATAAAAAACGTCAGCTTTGGGTGTTACCAATATCGTATTAAATAGGATTGATCATAAATACTGAACTGACTCAACTGGAATGAAGACTGCTATTGGCTGATAAGGTAACAGTGAGTGAGTGAGTGAGTTTAGTTTTATGCCGCACTCAGCAATATTCCAGCTATATGGCGACGGTCTGTAAATAATTGAATCTGTTGACAATCCAGTGATCAACAGCATGAGCATCGATCTACGCAACTGGGATACAATGACATGTGTCAACCAAGTCAGTGAGCCTGACCACCGATCCTGTGAGTCGCCTTTTACGACAAGCATGGGTTACTGAAGGCCAAATTCTAACCCAGATCTTCACAGCGATAAGATAACAGCTTTGAAATATATAATGTAAATATGTTATGTCATAATGGCTGGCCATTGACTCTATGACATTCTGTAGAATTTTTTTTGTGTACCTCTTTTTTTCCATTTCATTTTTTGGGCGGTGGGTTAACCTTGTGGTAAAAGCAATTAAGAAAAAAATAACATTACTAGTATTTGTTTCCTAACATTGTTACAGTGTGTGCAGCTCTTCTGTCTCACGTAGCTTAAAGTAAGGCCAGAAATGCTTGGAAAATGCTTTTTGGCTTCAATATCAGTATAATGAATTTGACACAAGATAAAAGCACATATATGATACATGTACGACTCTACCTAGTTGGATTTTAAAACTCAGATGAAAAAATGCACTTGAGGGATGACTTCTCAGGAGGAAATTTTGACGTTTTAACAACATTCGAAAATATTCTAAGTACAAACTGTAGTTTTGAAATACAGACTATAATTATTCATATAGCCTCAACAAATTAAATTACAGAAATGATTGTAAAAAGTTTTGGTTTTTTAACATCTATATGTGAAAAAGATGGAACTCTTGTAGTAGTTATATTCAAAATAATTACGTAGAAAAGTCTTAATTCAAATCGCATAGATAGTCTTGTTCACCCATAGAAGTTTCACTTGATATCTCTGCAGAACAATTAATTTCTAACTTATACCAGTATTTCATACTGGAGAAACAAAGGGGGGAAACCTCTCGTCAGCTATGACAGGGTTTACTATAGAATGTGTAAAGCCCTTAATTTGACATATAGTCAGGTTTACAAAGCTGTAAACAAATCTGTTACCTCAGGGGTCATGTCAAAATCAAAACCAGGTAGGAAACAGAAACTGGATAGCTTTGATAAGGGTGTTATACGCTGTGCAGTTTATAAACTGTATGAACGCAAAATCCAAACGACGTGTGCTAAAATACAAGATGAGATCAAAGATACAATAAATGTCTCGAAAGCAACACTTATTGTAGCTCTGGGAAATGGGGTTCAGGTACACCAAAAGGGGAGATGACAGAGCTGTGTTTAGAGAAAAGTACTCAATCCTGTCCATGCCATCAGCTTATCTCAGAACAGTTGAAGAATACTGCAATTTAGGGTTTCAAATTATATACCTTGATGAAACCTGGAGAAATAAAAATCACTCAACCGATTGGATGTAGCTTCCTTCAGATTGTTCTAAGGCACCAGTGTTACCATCAGGCAAAAGTAGACGCTTGATCATCTTGCATGCTGTGGATTGTGACTTTGTTTTTGAGGCCAAGAAATCTGATGGTGATTACCATAGAGAAATGAATGGGCAGGTATTTTTGGATTGGTTCGAACATCAGCTTTTACCACAGCTGGACGAACTAAGCGTTATCATTTTGGATAACGTTACCATAACCTGCGTGTCCCTGGTACCATCACACCCACCATGAGCAATCTCAAGGCTCAGTTGCAGGATTTTCTCACTTCCTGTAACGTGCCTTACAGGCAATCAGAAACAAAGCCCCAGCTCATGGAAAAAATCTGGCAATAAAAAGCCAATCCAGTACATCACTGACGAACGGGCCGCAAAACAAGACCACATAGTTCTGCGTACACCAGTACGGCACTGTGTGCTCCCATCGAGCTGATCTGGGGTAACTGTAAGCATTTTATTTCTCGCAATAATACCACATTCACGCTTTCAGATGTTAAAGAGCTTGTGTATGCTTCTTTTGTGAGAATTACCCCAGAAGGGTGGCAAAAGGCTGAAGACCATGTTCTCAAAATCGAGGATCTTAATAATACCGCGGATGGATCTATGCTAACGTCAGCCGAGTTGCACCTGTTGTAATTCCGCTAGAGTCCTCGACCAGCAGTGATACTGACAGTTGATATTTTGAGACGGTCCCTGACATGCACTGCCTGTGGGTTACGTAACGCTGTCACCCTGTCTGTCGGCCAGGTGGATCACAGTATAGTTTGTTTCTTTGAAGTGTTTCTACCATGGAATTTTTTCTAAGTTTGTCGATATTTTACGAGTAATCATTATGATTAGGGAATGGTACATCGTGATTACTCATATGCCATATTAGGTCGAGGTGGTATGAATGACTATATATGAGTTTTGAATCTGAAATATCAACCATTATCAAATAATTGCCAAAAAGATTTTCCAAGCATTTCTGTCCTTACTTTAGTGGTTAACACATTCACCCATCATGCTGAAAACAATGTTTTGATTCCCCACATGGGTACAATGTGTGAAGCCCATTTCTGGTGTCCCCCGCCATGACATTGCTGGAATATTGTTAAAGGGGTGTAAAACCATACTGGCTCTGTACCAGGCCTGCTGAGATATTTTTATACCCGTCATTCATTCACGCACTCTCATTCACTCACACACCTACTCATTCAAGGCTACCTGACAAGCTCCATGTATACATAATATCCTGAGGTCGGTCTATGGCAGATCTGATGGAATCGAGTTGAAACAATTCATGAATATACAGGAATGTTAATCTAAATACAGTGTATGATATTGTCTAATTCATGTTGATCACACAAATTCACTGTGTTAAGTATTCCTTGATGAAAATGATGATTATGAATGAGCTTAATCCAAAGTGCAGATCAGCAAAATGATCTAGTGATTCAGATATCAGTTTCCAAACTCGTAACATACAACTTCCTTTTATCTAACTCTCAAGAAAGGACATTGGTAGATTTGTTGGATAAAGATATATTTTCTTGTTGGTGGACTTTAAATCCTGTGGTCACATCAGCACATCCAGATTGCAGCTATGATTCTTCAAATTCCAATAATTTAACATAGGCTATTGACATGTTTGCAGTGCGGACTCTTGGATGTATGAACCGTTCCATAAATCCATTGTACCATAAATTGGCGTTGTTTTGAAAAACTCATTATTTCACTTTATGTTGTTCCTTAATACCACTCTCAGCACTATGACATGTCTCTGAAAATAATCAAGCCTGGACCAGACAATCCAGTGATTGACATCGTGAGCATTGGTCCTTGCAATTGGGATACACCACATCCTACCAGCCAAGTAACCAAACCTGACCATCTGAACTTTTCAGTTGCCTCATCTGAGAGCCAATGGATTCGGGTACTGCACACACTCAGATGAATCTTGGACGTAGAAAGGTGATAACACATCTGTAGTCATCTTCATCCCTTTTCACATAAAATGTTACATATAATCTAGTGTATTGTGTAGAAACAGTGTCCAAATATGAAGGCATCATTTCATCACCACAAGAATGAGTAGACTTACACAGCTATTGTCACAATGCCACTTTTCATAACTTCTGATTCAAAGTTGCTCAGATCCATTAATAAACCGCAGCTTCAATAACAACAATGAAGATAACCACGCCAGGTTGTTTCTTGTTCTTATGTTTCTTCAGCATAAGATGTGTTTCCTTCATGTAACGATTCATTCAAGAATGGTGGGGGCTACATCTCGGGTTCCTCCTCGATATCATATAGCACCACTGTTTCCAATCGGATACCGTCTGTTACGTCTGATGTTAAGCTGCGACCACATCCTAGAGCTAAAACCTGCAACAATGAAATAACAACATCTCTCCTGTATCTTCAACAGAAACAGTTTGTATAAATTTCAGGTTTTGGGTGACACAGGCTTTAAATGCACACTATCATGCCACACTTCTCTAAAAATCAATATTGCATTTCACTCATTGATACTAACTATTAGCCCCCAGCAAAGCTACCATATAATTTATTCCGAAAAAAATTACATATCAAGAGTACAATACGAAATAAGATAGTTTGAATGAATTAATGCAACGTTGCATTAAATCGAATCTTGTGCCCTCTACCGACCAAACTTTATTTCAAGCAAACCCCATAGAGTTATGTCCCTTGGAATGCTCTTAACGAATATCCTATAACGCAATTTTGTGATTGAGGCCAGTTTGGCAAACACCGACAACACCGCGTGCGAAATTTTTCGATGTTCGGAGGAATCGTTTACATTTCATGTATGGCAAGTGCTCTCTGTTTGGAAGCTGTTCACCTCGAGGATTCAATTATCGATTTCAGGCAAGTCATAAGGGACAGTAAGTCTTTTATTGCATCAATAGAAAGCTAAAGTGCATATGCCCGAATATATATATTATAGACCAAAATATTGTCGAAAAAGCGTGACATTGTGCCTTTTAACATCATGTATAAAATTATTGCAATCATAGAGCGACATGCCTCCATGCACATGGACCAATGCTTGTTTCATATACCACACACACATACTATCTTGACTTCCACTCTTTGCTGAATTTTTTATGCCAAGCTAATATCTCACCTAAATGTAAGAAAGTGAGAGAGGTTGTAAACTTGGAGTGATAGCGGGACAAGAGACTAAATATCAAGACAAATCATTGATCAGCAGATCCTGACAAGGTAGGGGATGCAACTCTACTGACAAATTTCTTGCACCTTAGCACGCCTTCTGAAACACTGGGAAAGACGTTACTTTGTAGCTATTGTTACCTTTTCGTTGTGTTCCTTCTGTTTCTGGGCAGCAATCTCGGGCTTGGTGTAGGGGCTGTCGAGAGCCAAGTCCTCCTCCGACACTGGAAGGTAGATCCAGGAGTCATAACTAACTGACATGGGAAGTATGTGGACTCACAAAACCTGCAACTGGTTGTCAAGTAGAATCTCATCATGACAAAGCATCATGAAGGAGAATGCATAACTTGTTTAGTTGATTGTCATCCACATTCAGAGGTGTTGGGTAGCCTAGTGGTGAAAGTGTTTGCTCGTCACACCGAAGACCCTGGTTCGATTCCCCACATAGGCACAATATGTAAAGCCCAGTTCTGGAATATTGCTAAGTGGCATAACACTAAACTCACTCATCCAGATCCTGGCATAGGATCTCTGTGACACCTATAACATGTCATATTAATCTTAGGATTGTGATGTAGGTCCTTCCTGACCCCAGACCGCCTCCGTGGTGTAGTGGTTAGAGCATCCGCCCGGAGAGCGGAAGGTCGCGGGTTCCATCCCCGACCGCGTCATACCAAAAGACGTTAAAATATGGTACTTGTTGGTACCTGCCTGGCGTTCGGCATTAATGGGTACAACAAGGACTGGTCGGCTCAGAGTCAGTATAATGTGTCTGAGAGGGGCTAGCACTATAAAACCAGCTTAAGTCTGGGCTAGTACAAGCAGCCGCACATACACACGCATTCACGTCGTCATATGAGCGAAATATTCTCAAGCACGACGTTAAACCCAATTTCACCTCACCTCATCTTCCTGACCCAGTAAAATATAAAATTGTATAATTGGGGAAAATATTCAAATATAGTTTTCCCGTGAAGGTCTGGGTTAGAATATTGGCCTTCAGTAACCCATGCTTGTCGTAAGAGGTGACTAACGGGATCGGGTGGTCAGGCTCGCTGACTTGGTTGACACATGTCATCGGTTCCCAATTGTGCAGATCGATGCTCATATTGTTGATCACTGGATTGTCTAGTCTGGACTCGATTATTTACAGACCGCTGCCATATAGCTTGAATGTTGCTGAGTGCGGCGTAAAACTAAACTCACTCACTCACTCAAATATAGATTTGAAACTATTAGCATTATCATCAACCAGCACTTTTTCTTTATACTCCTACTAGTTTGATATATGGTAAAGACGTGTGAAACGTGATGAAGAGCAGCGAGGGATGCGGGTGTTACAGATATTATACCGTTACCTTTGATGCCTCCCCTGAACCAGCTGTGTTTGAGGATGTCCGGCCACGATGACCTCTCCCGGGGATTCTTGATCAGCAGCTCCTGCAGCAGGTCCTTCAGCTCACTGGGGAAGTCGTTGGGCCAAGTAACGGGCTCTTCCACAATCATCTTGTGCAGGACATAGGGACTCATGGAACAGAATGGCGGCCTCCCCACAAACAGCTCATACATGATGCACCCGAGAGCCCTGAGAAAGTCATGTAAGATTGATGAAATCCCCTTACAATTCATAAGTGCTGACTATTGCCTGATGCTCCCAAGAGCCCCGGGAAGGGACATGTAAGATGTTGATGAAATTCATTAGGGCTGAATATTGCCAGGGATATTGTGATATAATGAGTGTAGGAAAATTCTACCAGACAACAGGACTGGTAACTCTGAAAACTTACCAGCCCTTCCCCAAAGTTGCCAGACCAACTCTAATTTCACATTTCAACTCAGCAATAATAAAAAAACAATCTATTAAGTATCTTTGCTTTCATATTTATTGAAATGCCCAACAAAAGAAACAGTTTCATTACAGATAAGATTCTCATGATTACACATAAAATATGAGCCAGACCATTGGGCTGGTATGATTTATTTTTTGCCAGCCCTCCACAGAATTAACCTGTCTCGGTGTTCGGGCGGGCAGTAGTTTCCTACACTGATATAATGTAATATTTTATTATTAAAATAGTTTTAATGATGTTTGTTCCTGTATTTTAGCGCCAAGCCAACGGCCTTAAGTTACCGCTCTTCGTGTTAATTAGAGTTATCTCCCATTGACCTAATTCTTGTCGTCCTAGCGTTTGAAATGGCGGCATGCTTGAAAGTGGTATTATTGGTTTTGGTGTTCTCGATATAGATTCATTAATCTATGCTTACATTTCTAGAACTGCACTGTTAATTTTGCCCATTGCCCTACCAGAGTTACAATGTATTGTTTGTATGTGACCGCATGATGACTACCTGCATTTGTACTAAATCACTACGCTATATATTCACCCATAATATGGGGAGTATTTTCTTATTTTTCTAAGCCACCGCATGTTGGCAGGGAATAAGAACGTGTAAGTACTCTGGTAGCATTAAATATTCCCATCACTTCAGTTTAGTTATTATTTCACAGTTCTAACGGAATGAGATTGGAATCAAAACAGACAGATGACACCACAGATACACAAGAGCAAATTGTAAGGAATGATGAGATCCCTGAAACACAACTCTAGCAAATCCTGTTTCACTCATTCTTATGTTTTGTTAAAGACAAAAATAACCAGAATAGAATATCAAACAGCTATTTTAAACAAATGGATGGTTATTAAATGTAATAGTTAGTGGGTGTATTGCCAACATGTCAGAGTTCTCTATAGAACAAACTTTATGGATAACAACTTCTTTTATTCATGAGTGCAACGTTTTGATACAGATTCTTGGAACCTTGTCAAACAGGAATTAACAAGAACGGTACAAGAATCTGTATCGCACTCATGAATAAAAGAAGTTGTCATCCATAAAGTTTGTTCTATATTGTACTTCCCAACTTCTAAAATGCCACTCAAAGATGTCAGAATTTCGGCCATACATACAGGTGGCGCCAAACTTCTGCATAACACGTACAGGTAGCTTGTCTAGGATCACCATATGCACACCTTGAACATCCAAAGTGTATTGCTGAGAGTCCCCTTGACCAAAAATGAGATCTTATATGTCTGGTCGGATATTGATGAGAAAATATTCAGCTGAGATGCTCATTTCCCCACAAACTAGCTCACACATGGGACACATCTCATCAAGGCAAGAGGAACGTCAGATATTGACTAACTATTCCTTCCACAGTTACTGTGAAACGATGACAGGCATTATGTTTTATTTATGGGCTCGACCAAAACTAGCTTTAGAAAACCGATTATGTCCCTTTTGCAAAAATGACATAGAGGATGAATATCATGTTATCATGGTTTGTCCTAAGTACTTGACATTTAGACGTTGCTACCTACCTCTGGACGTATACAAGTCTCCAAACATGATGAAGTTTATAAGTCTTCTACAAACTAAAGTTGAAGTATTAACCTTCAACTTAGCCTAATTTGTTTATCATATATTTCAGGTAAGGCAAAACTATAATCTGAATTATCCATGAATGTTTATTCCTTTTTAGTGCTATCTTCTGTCACGAAAGGTCTTTGTAAGTGGGTTGGGTTGGGTGGGGGTTGGCAATGCGCTTTTGAAAGTATGTATGATGTATTTGTCATGTTGACCGTTGGCCTATTAAAGAAATAAACAAACATATGTTTTATATAGACATGTCTTACCACAAATCCACCTTCTCTGTATACGATGTCTCGTCCATCAACTCAGGGGCCATGTACAGAGGGGTTCCCTGATAAACAGATAGCGGTGATGATAGAGGGGGAAACAGACAGTAAAATTGTAAAAATATTTATCTTGAAATCTTCAAAACACAATCTTTGAAGAAACTCTATTCCTCCCTCCTCTACTTTTCTCTACCTTCCCAACATGAATTTTCAGGTAAAAACATTGTACAACAGAAGAGATCTGCACTTATTCTCATTTGCCTACACTGTTTTGAGTCATGACGTACCTTGATAGTCTTTGCGTAGTAGGAGTCCCTCCCCATGGCCCTGGCAAAGCCGAAGTCGCACAGCTTGATGACCCCTCCTTTACCTATGAGGACATTCTCCGGCTTCAGGTCGCGGTGCAGCACGCGGTGAGCGTGGAGGTAATACAGAGCTGACGACATCTGACACGAGATGTCTCGAACCTGGTAATGATAAGTTTTACTTCTGATATCAATATTGAAATATTTCTTACAACAATGTGCTTTGATCTGATATCAATATTGCAAGTTTGCTTGTTTTCATGATTGCATGCACAATATTTCAGCTATATTGTGACTGTCTGTAAATAATTGAATCTGGACCAGTCAATCAAGTGATCAACAGCATGAGCATCGATCTATGCAACTGGGATTTGACGAAAAGTGTCAAACAAGACAGCGAGCGTGACCACTCTATCTCGTTGTGAAGATGATGACATACTACATATTTTTGTGTTTGTTCTTCAAACAAACCTATATTGCAGCAGTCAGTAAAAAAAATCAACTTGAATGAGAGATGAGCACCTTGTCTTCAGCAAACCCTCCTTCGTCAATAAGCACGCTGAACAACTCTCCTGTCGCCAGCTCGATCACAACAACTATCTGAAACATAAACATGTGGTTATAACAATGCTACCATGTCCAGCTACACATGTATTCATGATTATTGCATCTTCTAAGAAACAAAATATTTTGAGACTGATGACAGAAAATATCTGCCAGGAATGCAATTCCATGATTTTTGCCACACATTTAGTTGCTCAAGAACATAAATTTTCTGATATAAGAGAAAGCGTTTTCTCGGTTTCAATTTGATGGGATTTCCAAATGGGTATCCAACCCACAATTTGCTGGCAAATATGAAACAAGTCTGCTTGGAGAGGCCTTTAATAAACTGTCCCTTTCAGAAACTTCTCAAATGATCAATCCTGTTCATGTGCACAACAAGGGGGGTAACTCTAATTCTAAAAACATTCATTCTCCCTCACTGGCCACTGAGGCTGAAATCTGGCCATAAAAACACTTGAGATTTTTTTGCTTAGTTTTGTTTTTGCATTTCAACTATATTTTTTTGTTGTCATATGTTATATGTTTACAACAAATATATTTACGCTAGAACTGCCGACACATAATGGCTAGGATTTAAATTTCAATAAGTCAGCAGACAATATATTTTAATATCTATTTGACTGGCCTTGGTTAAATATCCATAATTTTCTTGCTTGTGAAGCTGTAGGCTTTAGACTGAGGAAATAACAGTATCCGTTATTCCTTGAAACTTCCAAGCTTTATCTCCCAAAATCTGAGACCCTGAAAATTTAACTGTTTACTAATTCGGACTTGTGTTCACACAACAGTATACTCACATCGTCCTTAGTCTCGAAGCTGTCGAGGAGCTGGATGATGTGTGGATGTGTGAGTCCCTGCATGATGGTGATCTCATTCCTCAGGCCATCCAGCTCCTTCTTGGTCTTGCGGAACTTTGACATGTATTTCATGGCTGATATCTGTAGTGTAAAATGTTAGTGGCTGTGTTAACACAAGAAGTTATTACAGGACAAGATGGGGAGCATATCAAACAAATCCCCATCACGGCAGAAGATTGAACATGGTTTAGTAAATACATTTGGGTAAGTACTTTTACTATCCACATGCTTAATTTAATGTGCTATAATGCTGTTTATAGCTCGTACCTCAGATGTGTATTTTTTCCTCCCCTTAAACACCTCCCCGAAGGCACCCTCCCCCAACTTCTCAAGTTTAATGTAATCATCTTCTGTGGACATGGTGAACTCTTGGTTCTATGCTGAAACAAAAATGACAATTTTGTTAACATGAGAAGTGATAAGTCTTTGTGGATGATCAACCTCTTTATTGTATAAGAATCGACCTTTTGTAATAGACACCTATAATGTTTCCTTACATGAAAAAAAACAGTATAAGTACCTATACCGAAACATCACTATTATACAATATACAATTCTGGAATGCCTCTCAAACAGAACATGAGAAAATGGTTATTTTAAGAATAGAAATGGCTATTTTCAGTAATTACAGATAAAGTAGTAGGTTTTCGAATATTCAGCAAAAGTGCATGTTCTGTGTAATACAGCTAATAAATAGCATCAGCTTTACCAACACTGTTAGTGTTACAAAACTAACTAACGTAGTTGAAAAGCCAGCAAGATTTTGGATAGTAGTGAGTGAGTTGAGTAGGTTAAGTTGTACACCGTACTCAGTACTATTACAGCTATATGGCGGCGGTCTGTAAATAATCGAGTCTGGACCAGACAATCCAGTGATCAACAGCATGAGCATCGATATGAGCAATTGGGAACCGATGACATGTGTCAACCAAGTCAGCGAGCCTGACCACCCGATCCCGTTAGTCACCTCTTATGACAAGCATGGGTTACTGAAGATCAGGCTAGCTATTCTCAAAACGTTCATAGACCTACAAACTTCTTAAGCCCATTCTTAACACATTGGCTACGATCAAAGTTTAGAATTCTTAGGGCTACGAATGTTTTGAGAATAAGGGCCCAGTATTCTAACCCGGACCTTCACAGGTCTTTTGGATAGTAATACAACACAGAGCTCATACACAGTCTTGTAGTCTGTCTCACAGTCCCTAAACCTCATTATTTTCCCTACTGCCCAGCCTCCCTGCAATGCTAAAGCCTTAAATAAAGCTAGTCTAGATTTCCTCAGGTTCAGGTTCTGAATCTCTGGTCTCCCTGGGGCTCCTTTTCAATTTAAATGGATTTGTTTGTTACTTTTATCAAAATTATATATATTCAGAGACTAAGCGTTACTAACTTAGTCTAACAGTCTTACTCTTACTTGTGGAACAGTAAATTTGTCAGTTAAGAGTTTAATTTTACTTTCACAAATGAGTTATCTTATACATTGCATTTAATAGATATTATATTAATATTAGACAAATATATGACTTCAATTTTCGTGAACGATTTTGTTTGGCTCCGTTTTTGTCTGTCAAAACGATACATGATATAAAATACGTTTTTTTTCATTTCGAATAAGCCACATCGATAGATATTGATTTGAGACATCTGACCGGGCAGGTGTCACTATTTACTAATTCAGTATTTATTATACATATATTGGCATTTCCGGGTTGCCTCACCTCGCTCGCTGCCTTGTGCTTCCCTCCCTCTGTTCGATCAATGCTATTCTTAATCTCAGCTCAAGATACGTTCCGCTTCATGAGGCAATTCCATATTTAACGGTTTTGTCACAAAACCGTCATCGTGGTCATCAACGCTTCTGTCAGATGGGTTTATCTCGTGCATTATGTCATCTTTGTTTGGGTCGACAACTCTTTGAAGTAACCGCCATTATTGATGTGTGCGCATGCGCAGCAGGAAGTAGTAATTTCCTATCCTCATTTTTGAGGGTTTACAGTATTTGTCAACTATAGACATAGGCGCCCAACTCTGATATATTTGTAATATATATATAAGATACAAGTCTTATATCTTATACATATAGGTCATACTTATATATATCGGCCGCTATATAAGTATCTATGATATATAAGTCAAAGTGTGGTCGAGATGATTTTATTACTGTTTTGTTAATATTTTAGAAACATGTTTTAATCAATCTATTTTCTGTCTCATCAAGTGCTTGTACAAGCAATATATATATACATAAAGTATCACAGGCGCTTGTAACGCTAAAAACTGCCATCAAGGTATATATGTCACTGACGGGGTCTTAGTACTATATAAAAGGATACACAGGGGCTTGTAACGCTAAAAACTTTTATATAGTACTATGACCCCGTCAGTGACAGTATATACCTTGATGGCAGTTTTTAGCGTTACAAGCCCCTGTGTAAAGTATAACAATAGATTTACCCCAGCACTTATGTAACTATTAACTTCACTTTCAATCTAATGACAAGCGCATTGCATTGTCTGCCCTTTCCCTATATCCTTATTATGTAAGTCCACTTGCCTTCAGTCCAACTTTATTTCACAAGGCAGTTGTTTGATGCTCGGAGGTCCCATATTGCTCAGCAAATAGTTTGGCATTTTGAGTAGACTGAGTGTATGAGAGTTTCACTATCTCTCTCTATATAAGGTTAGTTTGTGTTTTGCTCCCATATTTATTTATTTATAGATATGTCTGTATCAGATAACCCACTTTACTTTATTTTACACGTAAGCTAGCAACAAAGTATTTTTCGGGGGAAATTTTATATTGTTGTTCATAACTTGAAAAATTATTTTCCGCATCAGGAAAGAAAGAAATTAACATTTTTCCCGCCAAGGGTATCCATGACAAACGAACTGCCTCCTCAACAGAAACAGCCCACAAATAAAGACCTAAGTTTGTGTACTGTGTGAGTAAACTACATACATGTATTTCATCACAAATGTTTATGTGCAAGGTTGCTGGGGACTGGTAGCATTCTGAATTTGCAAGTCTGCTGTTATTTTACTTTATGCCTATGCATGTATTATCATGTTTTCTATTTGAAAATCCCAGCTTTATTTACTTCGACCACCCGGGTGGGGTTCGAGTGGTTAAAGCGTTCTCTCATGCGCCGAAGATGGGTCGATTCCCCACATGGGTACAATGTGTGAAGCCCATTTCTGTTGTCTCCCACCAGGATAAAGCTGAATTATTTAAAAAAGCGGGGTATAACTAAACTCTCTCACTCATAGATAATGCCACGTCAAATTACAATGTTGATATCTGCCAACAGAGGGTTGACATCCTCAGGAATTCCCTGGAAGCCATCCTGTCTACCCCATTTTATAATGCCTACCACAGTTAATATCATGCCAAGGTGTGAAATAAGATTTAACAATGCTTTGTGTGCCAGTTTTAAACTGCAAGATTACAGATATCCAATATGCAGCAGTTTAACATTGATACCCAAATCAGACACTTTCACAAAGGCAACCAGTCCTTGTCTTATTCCCTTAATGGTGAATATAAGGCAGAGAAACAACAAGAAACATCTTTTAATATATTTGGTATGCTCAGGCTGAGCGTCCATGGATTTGATTGGTTGATTTATTGTTTAACACCGCACTCAGCAATATTCCAGCTACATTGTATATGGCGGCGGTCTGTAAATAACCGAGTCAGGACTATGTGTAAACCCGGTCAGCAAGCCTCACCACCAGATCCATACACTCAAGTTGCCTCTTTACTCAGATTGAATAAAGGCAGAAGTTATGTGTGCATAGTCAGTAAGAAATGTGAACCTCAGTAACTGAAAGTGTAACTTTGGAGTGTTATTGTTATTGTCATTAAACAATTTGTCATGTGACGGTAAGAGTTCCTCCCGTTCCCCCATCCCAAATATTATTTATAAATTAATATATACTAAAATTGTGAACAAAACCTAACACAACAATTACTAGAGAACTCACCAAAATAACTAAAAACCCAAAACTAATTACAATATATTCAGGGTCGAACCACATTGCGTTACCTTTGTTAATCTGCAGAAGAAAGAAATGGGGGAATGGAAGGAACTCTTTCCCCTGTGACTAATCACAGGTTTGTGTAGCCCTGTGGTTCCCTGCATCCTATTTTGAACCCACCAAACCCAAATAAATTCGTCCCAGTTCTAAGTGAATGAGTGAGTATGGTTTTATGCTGCTTGTAGCAATATTCCAAACATAAATGGCAGTGAGGGACACCAGAAATGGGCTTCACACATTGTACCCAAGTGAGGAATCAAATCCGGGTCTTTGGCGTGACGAGCAAATGTTTTGACCACTAGGCTACTCCACCGCCTCTCCCAGCTCTAGAACCAGGTACAGAAGAATGAAGGTTCGTGACTGAAGAATTTGCACAGCAAGTACAATTGTTTCAATAACCAATGACAACATGCAATATCAGGTTTAGTGCAAGATTTGTGCCATCTTCAATGAAAAGCACATCAAACTCAGTCTCTCGTTTCCAAGTTTTGGTTATACAGAATATTGATATGCAAAACAGAACAGACAGTGCAGTCTTACTTAGTGAATGGTTTATTTCTCTGCGGAATGTACAAAAATCTCTTTGACAACCAGAAGAGAAAACATTATATGAATATTCAATGTAACAGACGCTTAAATCATCAGATGACGTTCAAAGTATGATGAAAATTGTCCATAAAAATAGCAGATAACATCTCTCACAGGATTTCCTAAATCAAGATTTGTTGATGGATTGTTTGTAGTTTAACGCAACACTCAGCAATATTTCAGCCACGAGATCTGTCTGTAAATAACTGAGGCTGAACTGTACAATCCAGTGACTGACATCATGAACAGGTCTGGTGCCACTTTATAGTCAAGGTAAGGCATAGATAATGTCATGTGTGCTCAAGAAGTGAGTGAGTGAGTTTAGTTTTATGCCGCTTTTAGCAGTATTCCAGCAATATCACGGCGGGGACACCAGAAATGGGCTTCACACATTGTACCCATGTGGGGAATCGAACCCCGGTTTTCGGCGTGACGAGCGAACGCTTTAACCACTAGACTACCCCACCGCCCCTGTGCTCAAGAAGGGATGCTTCTTATGTTGATTATGGTATGTAGCTGGACACAAATGGCACCAGAATATTTTCAATATATTAACGTTTCAAAGGACATTCTTTAATATCCTTACCAAATTTGAACTAAATCTTAAAATTGGATCAGTCACATCCTACTGATCCGAAACTCTGGTACTGTATATTATGCAGTTTCTAATATTTCTCAAACTCAGTGATTAACTGTGACAGGTATAGTAATGTTGATATGAATAAGTTGAAATGTTACAAAATGGTACCGGGTACATTGCTTAATGCATATCAAGTACTTCTGGACGGAAGCTTGTGTAAAATCTTAAGTTTGGACACAATCATTATGCTTCTGGTGGAATGTGAGATAGGTCACATGAAATTGCATGCAATCTTGGAGGGAATTTACAGCATGTGACTCAACATGTCACAAACATGGTTAACATTTTAAATACCGGTATTAAACATTGTGACACACAGCTATGATAAAACATAAACTCTAGATGTGTGATATTGGAGGGAATTTGTTCGTGGATGGATTGAACGATACTTCACAGATCAAATTCATGTACATATAAAAATTAACAAATCCACAACAACACAGCTCGAGGTGCATCAGTTTAGACGTTATCCATAACATATCTCCTTTATGCTCGAATACAGGGGAAATAACAATGTAAGAAAAATCATATCGTGCTTCCAGCAATTCATTGTGAAGGGAAACATCATTTTTGAATGAATTTCTGTGTAGTTTTAGGGTAACATGATACAGATAATGAAAATGTTTACCAGTATACCGGAACATGGAGAAAATATTGCAATACATACTGTTGAAAAGCGCATTGCTGTATATTGGCATACAATGAATCCAGGGCATACTTGTCGCAAATGCCATTCCATCCTTAGTTCGGGAATATAGAAAGGCAGATCATTAATTCTTCTTACCTGAATTCATTCATTTTACCCGATATTTTATCGTGACAGTTCACTCTGCGTGAAACAAACCTATTGACACTTCAACCATATAGGCTTTCACCTATAATGCAGGTGTTGAAAGAACCAATGCTATGCAAGCATTCAACATGTTGTGTATGTGGATAATGGCAGTGCCACCTTGACACGGGACTGGCAGCTGCTAGCTCCCTTGCAGTAGACGTATGAGTTTGTTACACTGCGAGGAGATGTTGTAGTCTCCCCCACCCTGCATGCTGAGGCTGCTGCCCCGCCCGGACATCTGGGAGGTGGGGCGGGAGAGGGCGGAGACAGGACGAGGGGTGCTGGCTGCCGTCAGGTCACATAGCTTGCCGACTGCGTTCAAGGACACCATTTCCTGCAAAAGAAAAGACAATGATAGGTGGCTGATGAGGACAGATATCTTTTTAAATGTAATTTACCAATCCCACAACTCCCCATTCATTGAAATGTCAAATATAAGGTAGTTATTTTGCTAACCAGGCATACTTAAAACAATAATTTTATATTTCTGTAGCCATCAAAATAGATAAATTATTTGAAATTAATGCAACAAGTCAAACATTGATCTCACAACTTCAAATGATGAACTTTTGACAAACAGCAACAATTCTGTCTAGAATCATGAAAATAAAAGGGAGGTAACTCTAAACACTTGAGGCTGTCTCCACAGAAGCATTGACACCCTTCCTTCTTATCATATCTTTTCAACCTATTTATATATATATTCTTGTGAAATTTTTAAACTAAAACATGAACCATGTGACCTTACCTTTCTGAGAAGTTCCTGCTGTGCCAGACTGCGTAGTGCTAGGAGAGTATTGGTCTGGACATTGGGATGATTGTCGGAGCACGCCACATCGATGAGGCTGAAGGAGAACCAAGAACATCAACATAGAGTTACAGGGGATATGGGGTTATTATTATTATTATTATTTACAGATTTAAGATAGTATGCAGCAGAGAGGGTTCGGGTGATCCTGGCACAGTCAGGCTGGTAAGGCTCATCATCAGCTCAGGGCCCTTGCCCCCTCTACACGCAGCCCAGAAAGTGAATGGAACTTCTCCCAGGAAACGCTGCCTAGTCGAACCCACCAAGAACTTTCCAGAGAATATGAAGGCTCCCCAACACTGCAGCCTTCTGCATTACCCAGAGTGTCAGAAGGGCTGTACTCCCGGTAGAGAACCCGGGCATTCTCCTGATCTGCGCCAAGAGATCAGGAGGTACCAAACCAAGGGCACCGAGAACAATGGGGAGCCTGACGACAGTGTACTTGGGATGCAAGCGAGACATTTCAAAGGCGAGGTCCGCGATATTTATCATGCTTTTCCTTAATCTTGCCAATCACATTGGTGTCAAAAGGACAGAAAATTCAATGATATAAATAAATTCATTGGCTTTTATCGAAAAGGACAAGATCAGGTTTGTTGGCTGGAATTCTTCTGAGGCTGTATATGGGCCTATTCCAGAGAAGTTTGAAAGCATCATTTTCCATGACGCCCTGGACATGTTCAGGGTCGTACCATGGATGGACCTTGGAGTCAAAGCCACAGGCATGTCATGGAGACGGTAGTAAAGCAACGAGCCATGCCATCATGTCGTTTAAGATATGATGTTTGTGCCAGGAAGGGCATCCACTGACAAGGTGTTGGACAGTCTCCGTGAATTCATTGCAAAGTCGACATTTAATATTGATATTTTCTTTAAGAATCACATTTAGGCGATTGCGAGTGGGAAGTGACTGGTCCTGAGCAGCAAAAAGAAAGCCCTCAGTTTCACATTTAAGACCAGCCGACTTCATCCAGGCGAAGGTGTCGGTGGGATTGCTATTCTGTTCAACACACTGCATGTACACACGATGCAATGGCTTCTCAGAAAGCTTCTCCACAAAAGACCGACTCTGGGCAGACTTGGTGAAGGACTTCACCTGGTTTACTCCCATCACTGTACCGTCCAGCAGTACATCGCCATCAACAAAATCAACCTCAAATCTCAGATTCTGTCCAACAACCTTGGCACGCTTAAAATAGCTGTGGAATTCCTTGCTTTCAGCATGAGTCTTCACATGCATCACTAGAAGATCATCCGATAAATAAATATGTGCAAAAGTACACAATAAAATTCTATCATGAAGAGCCTCCACATTAATCAAACCCCGACCTCCAGAATAGATTGGCATGTATAAATGGTTTTATTATTATTATTATTATGATAATCTATATAGTGCTGAGTTCCAGCTCACAGGCGCGCTTTGTTTTTCCCTCGATCATAGGATGTCAGTCTCAACGGCACTTTGTATTATCAATCTCAACTCCCTGGGGTGTGTACAACTCTTGCAGCCACTAGGCACACAGAGTTAATGTGGCTTTCCTATCCTTATGAGGTACCCATTCACAGCTGGGTGGACTGGGACATACAGTCACAGTACTTTGTCCAAGTTTACTGCACGTTGCTTTTCCCGCAACTAGGTGTTTGCACGTATTCACATGGCCACCATCTGGTCATATACCAACGGATTTGTGGGTTCTTTTAGGGCTTGTGACACACTGAAAGAGTCTGCACACAAAGTTGACTTCAGGGTTTGTACACCGGTCACAGGTAGGCTCGATCCTGGCACCTCAAGCTCTCTGGATTTCTAGCCTGGTGCCTTAGCCAGCTCGCCCACCATGCCTCCGGGGTTAACATCTCCGTCTAACCATGTAGCAGCTGAGTATGGATACTCCACTTAAGGCATATTACACAGATTCCAAGCCAACCAGTCTTGTTTTATCCTAAAATGCTGAGCTGTATCTTTTGAATTTGACTATTTGGTATAATGTTTCCAGGGGCTATAGTCCACACAGTTCACTATTTTTTACGAGGGAGGAGTGCAGAGAAAGGGACAACCAGGTGTTAGAGAAGCACGTGCACAAGTGCCGACAAGTTATTGATTCATCAACCTGTGCTGTGCTGTCTCCATCCTTTCTCGAACACCTGGCTGTCCCTTTCTCTGCACTCCTCCCTCGTGCAAAATGTTGAACTGTGTCAATATATAATTATGATAGTTTGTTGAACAACATTTTTAATTTTAGGACATAAATTCTGCAAACAAATCACAGAGTTGGTCTGATGTTTTGATTATGATCAGTGTTTCGTTGAGTATTATATGTTTATTAGTTTTCAAGTTAGATTGCAATTCATCGGTCCGCTTTTGAGCCAAACGGACTATAGATCCACTGACCTTTCACTCACCGTCCACTACACCATGGTGGTGGTCTACGCTTGTATATCAGTTGTATTACTTTACACATGTTAACAGGAAGGCATGAAAGGTAAAACCTGGATAATATTTACTCCATAAACTTGAATTGACTGATACTGGAGACCTCGAGGATAACTTACTGTTCTATGACCTTGTGTTGTTTAATATCTGGAACCAGAACAGGGGAGTGCATACCCAGATTTCCACAGGCACCTGAAACAGTTGAATGTCAGCATTTTGAAACATGGCTGCTCGTCCAATAGAATTTTCCCAGGTTACAGGGACCTGTTTTCCGAGTGAGTAAGGTTTTATGTCACTTTTAGCCATATTCTAACAATATTACAGTGAATGACACCAGAATTGTGCTTCACATATTGACACCATGCAGGGAATCAAAACCAGGTCTTTGGCATGACAGGTGAACACTTGTGTTGGGAATTGGTTAAAATCTCATAATTGATGATTGGTTCATTACTACTGATCAATCATCGAAAATAATTGGTTAGCATCATTTATGAAATTTGTTAATGCACATAAAAATAAGGAAAAAAACCCATGTAATTCTTTTGGGTTTTTTTGGCAAAATTTCATATCTTTAAAGGATGACTAGTATGTTAGGAACATAAATTTCTTGAAATCTTTAAGATAAATTCAATCATGACTTGAAACGAGCTTGTAGTGCTTCAAAAATATAACAGACAAAACCAACCATGTGAAAAATATTGTAAATGAAAACAAGTGTTCCAGAATTGTTTGTGTTCGATTATGAGAAATTATGATCGATTGCTTGGTCGTTTAGTCACTACGACCAATCTTCGATTATTTCAATTAATCGGACCACCACTAGTGAACACTTAAGCCATTACGCTAGAACCTAGGCTAGAATGTATCTTCAGCAACCCATGCATATCGTAAGGGGCAATTAACATGATCTGGAGGTCAACCTCGCTGACTTGGTTGACACATGTCATCGCATCCAAATGCGTAGGTTGATGCTTATGATGTTGATCACTAGATTGTCTGGGCCAGATTTGATTACCAATTCTTAACCAGGCATCACAACCGTCTGAGCTAGCTTACTGCCCAGCATAATACTAAATGCAAAATCTCATTGCCATGTGGCATTACAACAAGGTTATCTGGAAATAAATCTTAACACAGACTGGTTGATAGCAATAATTTGTCATATACTTTGAAGTTCACGTGAAACCAAGTGTCACTATTAACACGAGTGAGTGAGTTTTATGCCGCTTTTAGTAATGTTGCAGCGGGGAAACCAGAAATGGGCTTCACACATTGTACCCATGTGGGAAACAAACCCAGGTCTTCCATGTGACAAGTGAACACTTTAACCACTAGGCTACCCCATCGCCTCACAAGGTATCTGACGCAAGTATCCATCATGGCGTAGTGCAGATGTGATCTACTTACTGGCTGCATTAGTCTTGGTCTTGGTGAGAGGATCTCGGAGTAGTCGGACCAGGTGAGGAATGGCAGACTTTAACTTGGTGTACAGGTCCCCACTATGGTAAGCAGCATTACCGATAGCATAGCTGGCGCCCTGGAGGATGGTAATGATGCATAAGTGATCTGCATTTGTAACCAACTAGATACATCTGATAAAGGGACTTTTTGTGTCAAATATTAGCATATAAACATAGTGACAGACACAGGTAAAACGACAACTATGTAATTTTCTGAGTAATCTAGAGGGTAATATCTAAGTTAGAAAAGGATATAGTGCCGTGTAGGAGACCCAGGTGCTCTCCCAACCGTCCACTAGGGCGAAGAATGAGAGAGTGAGGAGCTGGGAGACGGGTGGCGCCGTTTCCCCGCCAAAACTGGGAAGGGAGATAACTCTTGGTGAGTAGTGATTTTACGTCTGCTTTTTTGAAGGGAGCTTCAAAAAGGGGATTCAAGTGTTCCACTAACGTTCGCAAGGAGAAAAAGACAAGCAAAAATACATGAGTCAGGATAAGGAAAAATAATTTATTACCATGCAACTGTCACATTGTGCATTTGACCAAAAATCAGACTGATTTAGGGCTACCTGTACCAGCACATGAATGTGTCGGGAATCTGTGAACAAGTGTTCCTTTGAGGGGTATGGAAGAAGTCTACTTCTTACACTTCTTGCTAGACGGATTAATTTATGTCTCACAAGATGGATTTAACTTAATATGAGATGGGTTTAACTTCTTATAAGATGGATTAAACCTTTTACAAGATGGATTTAAGTTTTTACATGATGGATATAACTTGTCAGAAGGATTAATTAAGTCCAACACGACCCAATTTAACTTCTTTAATGGATTTAACTTATTACAAGATGAATTTAACATCTTATGAGATGGATTAAAGTTCTTACTAGATGGGTTCTTCTTACCAGAAAGATTTTATTTTTTGAAAGATACATTGTACTTCTTACAAAATCAACTTTACTTCTTACAATTGCAATCAAATGCTTCTGCATATATGCAAATGTTCTTGGAGTGATCTACACTGTTTACCTTTCTGACATTAGAATCTTCATCTTGCAGTCGTGCTATCAACCCGGTCAGTATTTTATCCCTGAAAAAAGTAACCATGAACATTTCAATAAAAGTATACCACACTCTGACAAGAACACTACATCACTGATCTCATCCCTGTCTATGCAGAGCTACAGTCAAATCCCGATGAGTCGAATCGCTGGGGACCAAGTAATAAATTCGACTTATCGATGTATTCGAGACATAGGTATGTCTATGAGGGTAGAAAAAGTCCTAATTCCTCCAACTACACATTTGTTTATCCAGGGATACTCTACAACAGGGATAGGTTTTCAGTTGTCGCAACACTCAGCGTATGTAATCAGCTGTTGAAAGTAAACCAGGCTCAATCTTAAAAACTATGCTGCTGCCATATTGGCTACACTGGTCACGTGACGAGCCGAGGCATAGCTTAGGAGCTTTCCGAGGAGTGACCACTCCACCTCAGAGCTCCAGATAAGATTTAGCTCATGTGGGTACTGTACCCACTGTAATTGTTTGGAGTGGGTATATGAATGTTGAGTGGGTATTTCATTTTCCGTTACCCACTGCTTTCAAATAAGTGCGTATTTCAGTCATAGTACTCACCTAAGTATTAGTAGTCATTGAGTAAGTTTACTAAGCAGGTATGTACTGCCTTATCTAATCAAAACCAAGTTAAATATAATGGAAATGATTTCATAAAAAAGCACTCATCCTATACTGACAGTACAACACTTGTCCTATACTAACAGTACAACTTGATACCAATCGATGTCTTTTTCATTACGCAAGCGATTTTTATAAATATATTCCGTACGCATTTGTTATAAACTTTTTGCGTATCCAACATTTTAAATGCGTAATTGGTACGTAACAATTATTTTTCAATGTGTAATTTGAAATTTTCTATGCATATTTTACCCGGATACGCAGCTTATTTGGGCCTCTGCCCCCTTATATAGTCTCCCTGGTTTATCTAATGATTTCCATATCACTAATAGGGGCACCTTATCAGTTCCAGTCTGATTAGCACAGACAGTGATTTCCGTAAAATCACTAATCTGCCTTTTGAATTCACCCGTCAATGGCGGAAAGGTGTGAGCCGCGCTGGTTTGTTAATTGGATCAGTTTGCTACACCAATCAACTTCTCATTGACTGACTTCGGCTTATGTATACAAGATTGCTGTTGTTTGAATCTCAAGGGACCAAATTTCCTTCTCGAGTCATCGTGTGTATTTATGAGACGAATTCGTGTAACCGGTATTCAAATGATGACGACTATAACAGGGAATGGTCGGGACCGACAGGTACTTCGAGTTATGCAAAATATTCGAGACGCCGGCATTCGACTCATCGGGATTTGACTGTATAAGTAGAAGTTAAGAGTGTGTGGGTTGGTTTTAATGCTGCTTGGATTAGTATTTTATTAGTGTGTCAGTTTAATGTGGCAGAAAAAGTTGAGTACCTTGTTGAAACATTATAAAGGAATTTATAGAATATATATAATTCAGACTTTCGAAATGTGAAAAGAATGGGTATAGTGTACATTCATTTGTGCTTAGCACACTTGCGAACTATCGTGACAAAGACACCCTTAAATGTAGAGGGTTATAGTGAAATTACTATTCCCTGTTGATAACATATGACTTGTTCCGCCGGATATTGGAAAAGAATTTTTCCAACAGACAAAAAAACTTTCCGTAAGTTGGCATGTTGACTTTTTAGCAGCAAGATAAACATGTTCGCAGTACAGCAATGGTGATTCACAACACCTTGTACTATAGTATGATCTTTAATATGCATCGCAGCTTATCCTCTCATCAGACTTTTTAAAATGCTGCACTCAGCAGAATGAGGTGAGGTGAAATTTGGTTTAACGTCGTGCTTGAGAATATTTCGCTCATATGACGACGTGCATGCATGTGTATGTGTACGTGCGGCTGCTTGTACTAGTCAAGACTTAAGCTGGTTTTATAGTGCTAGCCCACTGAGATACCACGCCGCAGTGAAGCATGAATACCCCACTCAGACACATTATACTGACTCCGAGCCGACCAGTCCTTGTTGTACCCATTAATGCCGAGAGCCAGGCAGGGACCAACAAGTACCATATTTTAATGTCTTTTGGTATGACGTGGTCGGGGAATCAGCAGAATGACAGCTCAGGGGGCCATAAAGGGGAACAGACTACTTCTTTATTGCAAGAGATGAAAATGATGCTTGATTTGCTTCTATATGACGGTGTTAGAATCTACTGGTGTTCCGAAACGTTGCATCTATTGCAGTAAAGAAGTTGTCTATCCATAAAAACTGTTCCTCTTCATCATATCAGTTTCTAAATGCCACTTTAAAGAGTGGACCAGACAATCTGGTGATTGACATTGATCTATGATGACAGGCATCAGTTCAGTCATCAATCCCTTTAATTGACTCTTACAACTAGCCAGGGCTGCTGAAGACCAATTCTAACTGGAGGTACTACAGACTCACCTTTGTTTGAGGACAGGGTACATTTGTGCATCGTGTTTCATCAGATTACCCAGCAAGCTACATGTCCGTGATCGGACCGCTGTGGACACATTGGTTATCATCTTGACCAGAGGTTCGTAGTCACCTGATGTAAAGAGGAACCATGTGAGTGAACTTTATGCCTGTTTACATGGCAATCTAATTCACACAAACCATTAGACTGACTGACTGAGTTTGGTTTTACGCCGCTTTTAGCAATATTCCAGCAACATCACGGCGGGGACACCAGAAATGGGCTTCACACATTGTACCTATGTGGGGATTCAAACCCGGGTCTTCGGTGTGACGAGCCAATGCTTTAACCACTAGGCTACTCCACCGCCCCAAACCATTAGAACAACATTTAGTACTTTTTCAGGGCAATAACACTGATATGCTTTCAATACATGTATTGAAATCTTCATCTGATCAGTACTCCAGTTTTACAGCAAAAAACACCACAAACGTTCCACACATCAATGTTTTCACACATAATTTGATTAAGTTGTAGGCTACACATAAGAGATAAGAGACGGGCGGTGGGGTAACCTAGTGGTTAAAGCGTTGGCTCGTCATGCCGAAGACCCGGGTTCAAATCCCCACATGGGTACAATGTGTGAAGCCAATTTCTGGTGTCCGCCGCCGTGATGTTGCTAGAATATTGCTAAAAGCGGCGTAAAACCAAACTCAGTCAGTCAGTCAGTGATAAGAGACAAGTTAAATGAATACCATTCACATGACATAATTATCTGGACCTTTTAAGGCATATCCAAATTTATGGCGTTCTGAAGGAAAAGTTGCCAAGTCTAGTCCTTTAAAGCCAGTGTTTTGCCTTGTTCGTGATATGTCAGCTAATTGTTTGGGATAATCAAAACAGTTTTGACAGGCATAAACCTAGACGATTGCTCTTGATGACTGAACTAAGGTAAACTACATTTATAACAAGTACACTTACAATGAACTGATGGATTTATCAGACTTCTTCTTGTCCCACCAGTTGCTCTATATTCAGTAGTCAAAATTTGCATAAAGAAAATTCGCGGTCTCTTTGAATTCATTATAACCACAGTTTACAGAAATTTCAATGCTAGATGCTTTCAGTAACCTGTTAAAATGAAACACAAGCCATTCAACCTGCAGCAGAGTCTCAGTGTAAAGAGTCAGTACGCCATGATGCTCACCTTTATTGCCCAGAAAGACTGACTTGACGAGGGTGAGGTGTTGCGGAGACATTCGGACCAGGTGGCTGCAGATGGTGAGGGTGTCACAGACGATGGAGATGGGCTGGTCTTCTTGGATTAGCGTCACCAGGAAGGGCACAGCCTGTAGAGGGGAGACAACTCTGCTATGTAATTTGAGTCAGACGCATTGGGGGACCTGCTAGTCACCTGTGCTAAACTTGAGGGGAGACAACTCTGCTATATAATTTGAGTCAGACGCATTGGGGGACCTGCTAGTCACCTGTGCTAAACTTGAGGGGAGACAACTCTGCTATGTAATTTGAGTCAGACACATAGGGGCACATGCTAGTCACCTGTGCTAAACTTCAAACTTGAAGTTTATGATTCCAAACCTGAATCCTTGTGAACTGATATATGCCAGGGGTGTAGCTACCATTATAAAAAAAGCCCGGGCTTACCCATGATTGTTGCTAAAAAGGTTGGGCAAGCTTTGCAACCTATGGGGCTTACACACAAGAAAATGGCTTGCTATGTGCCTGTATGCCTGGCAAAAATTCTGCTTGTCAATACTTGTACATGAAAATATTTAATAAACCCAGCTTTAGTAAAATTTAGATTATTTGACTGTCATAACTTTGGGGGACACTTTAACAAAATATGGCATGATTTGAAGTTGTCAAACAGGCTATTTTCTGCCTATCTGTGAAGAAAACATATGAATGAGAGAATATGCTTTTGTCATTTTTAGCAATATCCCAGCAATATCATGGCAGGGGACATCAGAAATGGGCTTAACAAATTGTACTCACATGGGGCTGACTGACTGACTGAGTATGGTTTTGCGCCGTTTTTAGCAATATTCCAGCAACATCACGGCGGGGGACACCAGAAATGGGCTTCACAAGTTGTACCCATGTGGGGAATCGAACCCAGGCCTTCGGCGTGACGAGCGAACGCTTTAATCACTAGGCTACCCCACCGCCCCTGTACTCACATGGGGAATAGAACCAGGTTTTCAGCGTGACTAGTGAACGCTGTACCAATAGGCTTACCCCACCCCACCAATAAAACAGCTAAGTAGCCACTTATACAAATGAATTAATTCAGATAGATGCAAATGAAACCAGTTATTCCATGTCTGCACAGGAAACTGACCTTTTCCTCCTTAACAGCTGAAGCAAACTGTTCCACAAAGATTCTGTTGGCGAGCACAAGTCTGGCAATGAGACCCAAGGGGGTCTCGAGGTTCTCCTTGGTCAGGTAACAGGTACAGCCGGCCACCAGGCGAGGCAGGAGGTCACATGTGTAGAGGCAACTATATCAGATATACATGTGTTACTTCACAAGTGTGGAGGTCACTGCATCAGATACATGTGTTACTTCACAAGTGTGGAGGTCACTGCATCAGATACATGTGTTACTTCACAAGTGTGGAGGTCAAAAGTGGGTCACTGCATCAGATACATGTGTTACTTCACAAGTGAGGAGGTCACTGCATCAGATACATGTGTTACTTCACAAGTGAGGAGGTCACTGCATCAGATACATGTGTTACTTCACAAGTGTGGAGGTCACTGCATCAGATACATGTGTTACTTCACAAGTGTGGAGGTCACTGCATCAGATACATGTGTTACTTTGCAAGTGAGGAGGTCACTGCATCAGATACATGTGTTACTTCACAAGTGAGGAGGTCACTGCATCAGATACATGTGTTACTTCACAAGTGAGGAGGTCACTGCATCAGATACATGTGTTACTTCACAAGTGTGGAGGTCACTGCATCAGATACATGTGTTACTTCACAAGTGAGGAGGTCACTGCATCAGATACATGTGTTACTTTGCAAGTGTGGAGGTCAAAAGTGTAGAGGTCACTGCCTGAGATAAACATGTTACTTTACAAGTAAGGAGGTCAAAAGAGTAGAGGTCACTGCCTGAGATACACATGTTACTTTACAAGTGAAGAGGTCACAAATGTTGACTGACTGACTGAGTTTAGTTACTTCACAGAGTTTTAGTCAATATATCAGATACAATATCACTTTGCAAGTGAGGAGGGACACCAGAAATGGGCTTCACACATTGTGCCATTATGTGGGAATCGAACCCGGTCTACAAGTGAAGAGGTCAACGTGTTTAACCACTAGGATACCCTACCGCCCCAACAAATGTTGAGGTTACTGCCTGCGATAAACATGTTACTTTACAAGTAAGAGGTCAAAAGTATAGAGGTCACTGCCTGAGATACACACATTACTTTACAAGTGAAGAGGTCACAAATGTTGAGGTTACTGCCTGCGATAAACACTTTACTTTACAAATGAGGATGCCACAAGCGTAAAGTTCACTGCCTGATATATACCAGTGTTCACGAATAGCGTCTGACTCTCTGACAAATCTGGCAGATTCGCAAACGGTCCGATAGAAGTCTAGAACTCGCTGGCCCCAGTGTCTGACTGTATATTTCTCAATGACTTTGACTGAAGTTGTTATATGTAACATGTGACACTTGTTTGCTGTTTTTTAATATTATGTATATTAATAATTTTAATGCTAATTACTTCAAAATGTTACCAGCCCAAAATGAATTTAACCAGACCAGACACCAAGATTTATGAAACATCTAAAATTTTTACCAGACCATCAAACTGGTTAGCTGTAAATCTAGACCGTCCGTCAGAAATCTAGCCCGTCTCGGGCGGTCGGACAGGCCTTATTTCATACACTGCTAATTATAGAAATGTTAAATCTGAAATGTGTGTTTAATTTTATTCTATGGGTCCTGTGAATTTTCAATGGGTCAGACAGACATCTGAAACTTACAGGACCCAATGCCTTGTTACTTTGAAACACCATTCGTGAACACTGATATACACATTACTTCACACGTGAGGTCACATATGTAACTTGTCATCATAGAGACAGTATTTCTGACTTACTGTTGTATCTCTGCAAGAAGTTCCTCATTGGCATCCACAGCGAAGGGGAAACAGCATAGCTGTGTGATCTCCAACAGCATGTCAACAGCAAGCTGTTTGCCTTCAGAACCAAAACTGGAAAAAAGTAGGCTGACATGGAACGGAAAGACTTTGTGTCATATTTGTCAGATAATTGTGTCCTTCCTCAACACAAGCCTCACTCCTCAGTTCTTTTCCATAAACACGTTATATTTGGGATTACACTTTCTCAGTAAGGTAAAGATTCTAGTACTTCTGTTAGGTGGAGTCCCTTCCAGGATTCGACCCCACTAGCGGTGGCTGAGTGGGTTAGATGGCTTACTTTGTGCACAGGAGATTAGGTGCCTGGTTTGACTCCTTTAAGGGATTCAATTCAACAAAAGTACTAGAATCTGTACTTGACTGAGGAATTGAAATCTCATGTATAATGTGTTACATTTTATCACTTTCTAAGTGACACTGTGTATTCATCCCTTCCCAATGTTTGACAAATATTAATTGTACTCTTGTATCTGTTAGGCCATGTTACAACTAATATTGAATCTGGGTTGAGAATGGGGTTTTAAAAACAAAAATTTAATGTTTGCAGCAGTCTTTGAGCATGATATGATTTATGTGTATACAGTGACGCCAAAAATGATCCCTGACATCATAAAATCCACACAATTCTTTCAAAATTCTCCCCAATGAATCCTGCAACATTCAGGGTTTACTTACTCAGATGCAACCAAGGCTAGGAACTCCTTGTGTAGCACGTGGACCAGCGTAAGCATCACTACGCTGTCTGATGCAGCCAGGTTCGGTATACACTGGTACGTCTCCTGAAAACAAAGGCATACATTATCAGGTCTTGTTTCTTGTTTAATTCAGTATTCAGCCATAATATACTATTCACACTTTGCTAAGGATCAAATCATTGATTCAACAAAACTATGATGTGGGGTCTAATTTGGTTGGCCTATTGTAAGCATGGATCCACGTTTTCAGTAAGTCTGCATCTTGTTGATCCCATACCTGCTATTGACAGGTGCTGTGTACTTGTCAATGACCCGTGCCATGATTTGCAAAATGGTTGATTGGTGCCATGAAAACCATTTTTATGGTTACTCATGTATCAGTGCATACGGTTAGCTTATAGTGGCTTTTCTCCTAAAGATGTGTTACCACATCATTATTTATCCAGTTTTAAATGGATACAATTTTGAATCATAAGTCTAAAAGTTGGGATTTTTTGTGATCCTTAGCAAAGTGTGAGTAGTATATGTCAGCTTAAATAAGCCAATTCTAATCTGGAATCTACCTGGTATTCATATTGTCATGCAATATAGAAACTATATAACGGTGGTCACTACACAATCAAGTTGTACCAGACAATCCAGTTACCAACAGCATGAGCATCGATCTACGCAATTGGGATACAATGACATTTGTCAACCAAGTCAGCGAAGCCTAGTCAGTTCATCCTGCTGTAGATATGAAGGATATAACACGTGTATGTTACCTTGGCAAAGACTGACACTGCCATCTGCAGTGCTGCCATGAGTCCTTGGGGGGACACAAGGCCCCAGTTTGGGGGGACAAACCCCGGTGCCGAGTCTCCATCAGCCTCGATGTCGTGTATCGGCATGTTGGTCTCTGGGTTGTGCACCTGAAGGGCCTGGGCCACTCGGTGCCATAGCGTCCCCCAGATCCCACTCTCTATATACAGCTGGGCCACGGGTACGTCCGACTGAAACAACAAGGTGAGGTGAGGTGAGACATTTTCCCCAGATCCCACTCTCTATGTACAGCTGGGCCACGGGTACGTCCGACTGAAACAACAAAGTGAGGTGAGGTGAGGTGAGACAGTGTCCCCAAGATCCCACTCTCTATATACAGCTGGGCCACGGGTACGTCCGACTGAAACAACAAAGTGAGGTGAGGTGAGACAGTGTCCCCAAGATCCCACTCTCTATATACAGCTGGGCCACGGGTACGTCCGACTGAAACAACAAGGTGAGGTGAGGTGAGACATTTTCCCCCAGATCCCACTCTCTATGTACAGCTGGGACACGGGTGCGTCCGACTGAAACAACAAAGTGAGGTGAGGTGAGGTGAGACAGTGTCCCCCAGATCCCACTCTCTATATACAGCTGGGCCACGGGTACGTCCGACTGAAACAACAAAGTGAGGTGAGGTGAGACAGTGTCCCCAAGATCCCACTCTCTATATACAGCTGGGCCACGGGTACGTCCGACTGAAACAACAAGGTGAGGTGAGGTGAGACATTTTCCCCCAGATCCCACTCTCTATGTACAGCTGGGCCACGGGTACGTCCGACTGAAACAACAAAGTGAGGTGAGGTGAGGTGAGACAGTGTCCCCCAGATCCCACTCTCTATATACAGCTGGGCCACGGGTACGTCCGACTGAAACAACAAAGTGAGGTGAAGGTGAGACAGTGTCCCAAGATCCCACTCTCTATATACAGCTGGGCCACGGGTACGTCCGACTGAAACAACAAGGTGAGGTGAGGTGAGACATTTTCCCCCAGATCCCACTCTCTATGTACAGCTGGGCCACGGGTACGTCCGACTGAAACAACAAAGTGAGGTGAGGTGAGGTGAGACAGTGTCCCCCAGATCCCACTCTCTATATACAGCTGGGCCACGGGTACGTCCGACTGAAACAACAAAGTGAGGTGAGGTGAGACAGTGTCCCAAAGATACCACTCTCTATATACAGCTGGGCCACGGGTACGTCTGACTGAAATAACAAGGTGAGGTAAGGTGAGACAATTTCCCCAGATCCCACTCCCTATATACAGCTGGGCCACGGGTACGTCCGACTGAAACAACAAAGTGAGGTGAGGTGAGGTGAAGTGAGGTGAGACAGTCTCCCCCAAATCCCACTCTCTATATACAGCTGGGCCACGGGTACATCCGACTGAAACAACATGGTGAGGTGAGGTGAGGTGAGGCGAGGTGAAATGGGGTTTAACATTACATTCAAAATTACTTCACTTATATACCGTAGTGAAATATGCAGATAATATGAATGTGTTCTTGTGTGTTTGTTGGTGTGTCTGTGTCTGTTGTGCTGGTTAGAATTATGCCACTTTTGTTGTGCTAGTCTGCTGAGATCCCATACCAGTTCATCATGGATAACCCATCTCATGGCTATTGTTGGAAAGCAAGTAAATGCATCAACAGTTTTAAAATGGGGAAATAATTCAACTGGGACACGCTTTTAGGGGATTTATCAACCTAGTTGAACAACAATTACAGTTTTCCTGTTTTATTACAGACACTATTAGCATGAACAGATTGATGCCTGTCCCTGTCCCTTCATTAACTCGCCCTCTCTAGTAAACGTCAGTACATCTCAGGATACAGAGCACAACAGTTTCCAAAACATTGTTCTGAGTTTATGCAATCAAATAATATCACCTGAAGAGTTCTCTCCAGTATTCAGTACACTTGTCTGGTGTTTGTATTGTTTCAACTGGTCATGGTTACTACATTTCTTGTACAAAGGTTGCTTGCTATCTACTTACTCTATGTCTTCAGAGATTCTGAATATGAATACACATATTTGGAGCTTCACTGAAAGATTAACATAAAATTGAAATAATGACATAGCCTCCTGGGATATTTGTCCAGTAATACTTTCAGGGAGGGGAATTCTTGGGGCAGTTCTGCTACTTATTTGGCACAGCAGTGACGGATGACCCACCTGAGCTAGGAGTTCACACAGCAGCAGCAACAGGCCGTCAAGGACACCGTAGTCAAATGGGCATCGCACACAGATCTAGTGGGACACAGAAGCATAAATGTGATGAAGAATCAACTCATAGAAAATATACAGAAAAGATAATTCAGAGAGTGCTCTTGGTAATCTACAAATGCATGGTAATATTGTCTGTGAGTGATATCTCTTCGCCATGCACTAAATCACATCATCTTTTACCATGGCAATACATTTTGCAGCTATGGTTAACCTTGAACTCTGTGTTCACAAAAGTCAAAGCAGTATGGTAAGACTCACATGCACACACTTGTCAACATTACTAATATCATGTTTCAAGATTTACTGCATGGAAACTTGAAATAGCCTGTAGTGTATGCTGGATATATTTTCAAATGAACTACAGTGGAATCTGTCAAATCGAGAAACCGTTTTCTCCATAATGCGGACTACTCTCTGAGTCCCGGCAAAATTGTTCTTAATTTATCATTAAAGCTTGTTTTATAATCCGGAATCTCTCAATTACGGAGTACGGACTAAAATAACAGTTCCGCAATCAACTTAGGAGAACAATGCTGTGTAATCCGGACGTAGCTGACTAAAATAACAGTCCTTTGAATATACATCTCCATTACTTCTGTTCTTAATGGTTAATTAATTCTATAAACACACATTATTCAATGTTATAAGATTAACTCAGCATATGCTCTAGTCATTGCTGTCGAGGATCGAGGATAATGAAAATGTCGGTGAACTGTGCAAGACTGTGACTGCGTTGGATGCAACATTGTCTGGCATGAGACGATATATTCAACAATTCTTAAGTGCTTCCAGAAATGTGGATCTCCTACTGCCCAAGAAACTGAAGACGAGAATCTACCAATAGCAAAGTCCTTAACAAAGGGAGGTAACTCATCATGGCAGTGTTTATGGTGACGGACAAAAGTTGACAAATCCAGATGGCTTAATAATCCGGACAAATGAATCGGTCCCAGACAAGTCCATAATAAACAGATTCCACTGTATGTTAAGCACTGGATCTGGTCACTGGAGTTAACGGTTCTGACTATACCTCACAGGCTGACAAGCCTAGTTACCACTGGCTCCACCTTACTCTGTAAGGCAACAAACTATAGTTGCCTTGGTCATTGCTCAACTACTGGCCCAAACCTCTCACCTGAGCTAGGTCTGTGAAGACTGACAGACAGGCCTGGAGCATGTCCTCGGGCTGTACCTCCACAGACACTCCACAGTACACCATCTGACTGAACAACAGCGCTGCCGCAGCCTACAAACAAACAGTTAAGGGTCAGTATGAATCTCTGGTGAGTAGCTGGTTAGACCTCATCATTAACATATGGAGGTGAGTGAGTGAGTGAGTGAGTGAGTGAGTGAGTGAGTGAGTGAGTGAGTGAGTGAGGTTTAAGGCTGCTTCAACAGTAGTTCATTTATCTCATAACATGTCAGGAGGTTAAGAGTACTTCATTGTCATGGTAATACAATCATGAACATATTCTTGACTATCCTTTTGTTAAAGGGGTGGTGGGGTAGCCCAGTGGTTAAGGCGTTTGCTCGTCACGTCGAACACCCGGGTTTGGGCACATTGAGTGAAGCCCATTTGTGGTGTCCCCCGCCGTGATATTGCTGGAATATTGCCACAAGCGGCGTCAAACTAAACTCACTCACTCACTCTCTTTTGTCAAATGTGTCCAGCAAATTCAATTGCTGAAGATATAAGTTGGATAAACTGTCCCAACTGGAACAGGTCTTACAGGTTAGCAAATTAGTGAAACCAAAGAGTATGGGTATGGTGTTGAGGAACCATGAGTGAATCATAAGCCTGGAATCAAAGGCACTGCCAGCTAAACCAGGCCAGAAGCTTGAACAAGATATGTGGTACTCACTGTGTGACTTGCTACAGTGGAGTCCAGGAAGAATGACACCATCATGCCAGCAGTGTCTGCTATCCTGAAAACATATATTAGTCATCATCATCATCATCATCATCACTATTTTCCTTTCTATTAAGAATTGGTCTCCAGCAACCCATGCTTGTTGTTAGAAGCTGCCAACAGAATCCGTGGGTCAGGCTCGCTGACTAGGTTGACACATGTTATCATATCCCAACTGCGTAAATCGAAGTTCAAGCTGTTGATCATTAGATTGTCTGGTCCAGACTCGATTATTTACAGACTGCCGCCATATAGCTGGAATATTGCTGAGTGCGGCGTTAAACAACGACAATAACAACTAAAACAGAAATTCAAAGAGTCCTGGAATCATCATCATTAATGTCCATCATTATTCATTCCTATAAATATATAGTGGGGGAGTGAGTTTAGTTTTATGCCGCACTCAGCAATATTCAAGCTATATGGTGGCGGTCTGTAAATAATCGAGTCTGACCAGACCAGACCTTCACGGGTCTATAACTAAGTACAACTGCGTGGTAGATGTCTTACATGGGAGGTATGGTGTGGAGCTGTATGATGGTGGCGCTGAGGGTATGGAGGACCATCTCCGTCACAGTGTTCACTTCCATGTCTGCCACCTCCACCTGCAAACACACCTCTAATCATCATACACAGAAATACAAACACACCTCTAATCATCATACACAGAAATACAAACACACCTCTAATCATCATACACAGAAATACAAACACACCTCTAATCATCATACACAGAAATACAAACACACCTCTAATCATCATACACAGAAATACAAACACACCTCTAATCATCATACACAGAAATACAAACACACCTCTAATCATCATACACAGAAATACAAACACACCTCTAATCATCATACACAGAAATACAAACACACCTCTAATCATCATACACAGAAATACAAACACACCTCTAATCATCATACACAGAAATACAAACACACCTCTAATCATCATACACAGAAATACAAACACACATCTAATCATCATACACAGAAATACAAACACACCTCTAATCATCATACACAGAAATACAAACACACCTCTAATCATCATACACAGAAATACAAACACACCTCTAATCATCATACACAGAAATACAAACACACCTCTAATCATCATACACAGAAATACAAACACACCTCTAATCATCATACACAGAAATACAAACACACCTCTAATCATCATACACAGAAATACAAACACACCTCTAATCATCATACACAGAAATACAAACACACCTCTAATCATCATACACAGAAATACAAACACACCTCTAATCATCATACACAGAAATACAAACACACCTCTAATCATCATACACAGAAATACAAACACACCTCTAATCATCATACACAGAAATACAAACACACCTCTAATCATCATACACAGAAATACAAACACACCTCTAATCATCATACACAGAAATACAAACACACCTCTAATCATCATACACAGAAATACAAACACATCTAATCATCATACACAGAAATACAAACACACCTCTAATCATCATACACAGAAATACAAACACACCTCTAATCATCATACACAGAAATACAAACACACCTCTAATCATCATACACAGAAATACAAACACACCTCTAATCATCATACAGAAATACAAACACACCTCTAATCATCATACACAGAAATACAAACACACCTCTAATCATCATACACAGAAATACAAACACACCTCTAATCATCATACACAGAAATACAAACACCATCTAATCATCATACACAGAAATACAAACACACCTCTAATCATCATACACAGAAATACAAACACACCTCTAATCATCATACACAGAAATACAAACACACCTCTAATCATCATACACAGAAATACAAACACACCTCTAATCATCATACACAGAAATACAAACACACCTCTAATCATCATACACAGAAATACAAACACACCTCTAATCATCATACACAGAAATACAAACACACTAATCTAATCATCATACACAGAAATACAAACACACCTCTAATCATCATACACAGAAATACAAACACACCTCTAATCATCATACACAGAAATACAAACACACCTCTAATCATCATACACAGAAATACAAACACACCTCTAATCATCATACACAGAAATACAAACACACCACCTCTAATCATCATACACAGAAATACAAACACACCTCTAATCATCATACACAGAAATACAAAACACACCTCTAATCATCATACACAGAAATACAAACAACCTCTAATCATCATCACAGAAAAATACAAACACACCTCATCATCACACAGAAATACAAACACACCTCTAATCATCATACACAGAAATACAAACACACCTCTAATCATCATACACAGAAATACAAACACACCTCTAATCATCATACACAGAAATACAAACACACCTCTAATCATCATACACAGAAATACAAACACACCTCTAATCATCATACACAGAAATACAAACACACCTCTAATCATCATACACAGAAATACAAACACACCTCTAATCATCATACACAGAAATACAAACACACCTCTAATCATCATACACAGAAATACAAACACACCTCTAATCATCATACACAGAAATACAAACACACCTCTAATCATCATACACAGAAATACAAACACACCTCTAATCATCATACACAGAAATACAAACACACCTCTAATCATCATACACAGAAATACAAACACACCTCTAATCATCATACACAGAAATACAAACACACCTCTAATCATCATAATGGAAATACATGCCAACGTTATCGCATGATATGCCAGTTGAGGTATTACAGGCTGCCCCATGGGAACAGGTTCCCAGACCAAACATAGCAATGTTATTCTTCTATGTCTGAATGGATGACTTTAATGGATGAGTGTAACTACACACTGTTGCACTTGGCAAGGGAGGTAACTTCCAGTGTATACAAAAACTTCATCGCATTTAATACTGGCAATATGAGGAAACATACATCAACATCTTCTAACATTATAAGTCATGCTAAACAAGTCAACTATCACTAACTCACCCACTGACAACAGTTTGAACTGGTTTTAATGTTAATATATTGGATGCTATCTTACTTGATGGAAGGATATTTTACCTGTGTCATAATTTCAACACAAAACCTTACATGTTACATATCAGTATCTTCTACCACATACTACTACATATAAGACTATACATCATCCCATGATGAACTATATTTAGTTAACATTTCAGCCAATGAAAACAACTATTATCATACCCCTCTGAAATAGCCATCATTATGAAAACACATTACCAGCATCTAGTTAATCAGTGAGTGGTACCGTAACACCTACCTAGAGTAATTAATACATGTAGTGGCAGTGTGACTGCAAAACAAGCAAGTGTTTACATTTTGTTGATTCAGGGTATTGACTCTCTCAGATTATTCAGAAACGGAAGTGCCAATCAGTTTCTTGTTAATTAGTGAGCAGGCACGTGTCACTTACATAGAGGCTAATCGCTTGATGCATGGTATCGCTCAAAGCTCTGAACATCAACAATATCACTGTACTCTTGCCGAGAGTATTTTCACATTTGTAAGAAGCGATTTTATTGGATAAAGATTGGTTTCTTACGACGCTTTTTCACTACAGTCTGCTTATAAGGGTCGTGATTGGTCAAAATCAGACATGTGACCTAAGCAGCCAATCATATTATGGAAATGGATACCGCCAACTTAAAACTTTTAGATTCGAAGGTTTTGGGTAAAATAATTCTACATGTATTCTGAACATATTAAGCAAGACATCGCTACCTATACGTAAATTATGGAACTTATTGGGCATATTGTGCTAGGTTATGGCCTAAGACAAAAATGCTTCATGTATACATTTTTGCATTAAGCATAGTGTCCGGCCAAGACGGAGGCGGCGACAAAGCCGAGATGTTACTTCGCTGCGAGAAACATAAACAAGAATCGTTGTTTTCAATAACATTGCGAAAAATAGTTTATAATATTAATTCTGCCGATAATATATGATCAGTTGAAATTTAATAAGAGTTTTCAGACATTATTATTTGAATGAATCAACATGAATGTGCATTCAGACACTGCCTTGTTTCTTATTCAAACATCTTAATAATGCTGAACTTCCGTGAGCGCAGGCGTCATAAGCGAACCTAGCTAAACCGGCACTCTGTCAAAACCGGCATTTTTATTTGGTCCCGACTGATGCCGGTATTGACAGAGTACACTGTACTTTGCACAGCAACCAAAGCTTGGCATAAAAGGCAACAAATGGGATCAGCTGGTTGGGGTCGCTGACTATGACATGCGTCAACCATCACAGTTGCGTAGATCGATGTCAATCAGTTGACAGTCTGGTCCAGACTCAGTTATTAACAGACAGCCATCATATAGCCAGAACATTGCCGAGTTCATAGATAAGTAATAAATTGACCATAAAAACAACATAGATCACCACATATTTTGTTTTGCATGGTGTGGAGACCCATGAAGATCCGGGTTAGAATTGGTCCTCAGCAACCCATGCTTGTCGTAAGAGGCGACTGAGGGGATCGGGTGGTCAGGCTCGCTGACATGGTCCCCTGTCATCGTTGCCCAATTGCGTAGATCAATGCTCATGCTGTTGATCACTGGATTGTCTGGTCCAGACTCGAAATTTACAGACCGAAGCCATATGGTGGAATATTGCTGAGTGCTGCGTAAAACAACAAACCAACCAACCAAGCATGGCATGATGATCTGCTCACCTTCCCCATGAGGATGCCGATGAGAGACTCGATGTGATGCACGTTGTTGGCCATGAAGGAACAGAAGTTGTGGGACGTCTGACAGCAGTTGTACACCACCTGTACACAGAACACTTCTCATGAATAATTCCTGCAAGGATGTATCTACAATGTCAAACTAAATGCCCTAAGAAAGCAAAGAGGGTAACAACCCATTATTTTGTTCAAATCAAATTCAATAAAAAATGTGCAGAAGCTTTTTACTGGTAATGTCATTAGTAACATGTCACCTCTATGACATCTTAAATATGACTTGAACAACATATACACTCGCGTAACCTTGATTCGTGGATATAAGGGAAGTGCGGCGAAATTCATATTTTGAATACATGATTTATTTTGTCTACGCACTGATTATTTTATTCATTGTATCAGCAAATTGAAAATGCCTAATATTCACTAGTGAATGAAACATTTTTTACGGAAGCCATTTGCAATCATCACCCATTCGTGTGCCCCCAAAATGTGACGTCACCTTGTTTCGTGGATTACGTAGTCGGTTACTTTATATCACTATGTACGACATCCCACTGCAGTAAGTATTGACACCAAGGAAAGCAGACAACAAGAAGTGAGAAGGTTGGATCTCGCGGTATCTTTTTTACTTGACATTTTGTAAAAATAAAATTTGGTAATGGTGGTATTAGTGATATGGGGCTATTTATCTCAATGCTGGATAATTATATTTAGTGTACTTGCGTGTAATGCATAAATTCGGAACTTTTTTGTCAGCAAGGCGTGGCATTGTATGTACATTAAAAGTATCGCTTCGTGACGTCAGTTGATACTTAATTTACGAGCTAGCATGATAATTTCCGAGAACCACGAATCAAGGTAATCCACAAATTTAGGTTACGGTTCTGTACATTTACCATTTACCATTTTTCAATCCAAACTCAGAATGTTTATTGACGTATGGTGTAGATTCTGAGTCAAATATGGCCTTGAAGATGGTCAAGATAAATTCAAATTGACCTCTGTAAATACTGCATCAACGTCATTATCTCTAGCCATGCAACATTATTCACAAGCTTAATTTTCAGCGAGGTCTTAATTATAGGCAGTTCATAGTTATAGTCCAATGGTCTGTTGATAACAACATGGTATAAACTTTACCAAATCATGACAAACAAGGGCCACTAATGAGAAGGAACATGCTATAAATATTGTGGCACTGCTAAAAGAAGCTAATGTCATACTTTGATTGCTCTCATAGGAGAAAGTCCAAGATGAAGCAGATTCATTGTATTTCAAGTAGCAATTTGGTGACTTATCACAGCAATTCCAGAATTATCCCTGATTGATTCATGTAATAGCTAAACAGTTGCTTTTCTTAGTAATAATTGGAAAATTAGTGGAATGTACTGTTATGTTTCACTGACAGGAACTTACATTTTAATTCAGTATATGCTAAAGACCCAAGACATGTTTAATGTAAGTAATATTAAATGAAATTTTGAATGAAATTAATCGATCACACCAAAAGTCCAGATATACAATGAACTCTTTTATAACCAGACATTTAAATTACATGATTGACATGTGCATTTGATTTTGGATTTGTGGACATGGTATCTCCTATGCTAGATGCTCATGGTAATGGCTGTGCGTTGGGATAAAAATATCTAAATTCATTTTGGCATGCATAATGAGCAGCCTCTCAATATAACTGATTTCTGGAGTAAATGTGCACACAACACACAAGAGAATATGGTAATATATGTTTTAGGTATGTTTGCCTATGATGTACATGGTGAACTGATCCCTGACCTTGAGGATGGTGCTACAGGCAGCTGGGTGCCGTAACAGAAGCAGGAATTCATCAGCAGACCCCTCGAAACCAGCAGTGGCAAACTTCTCTCCCAGGTAGTGGGCAATCTGTGGGGGCAAACAACAAACAACAGTTGCCATTGCACCCAGAGTCTCATCATTTACAAGGACACTTGAATTTTTTTAAATATTTTGGCAATCAAACATGAAATTACGTACTTGTGGTTTTCAAATATTTTTCAAACCAAGATATTTGCTTTATCCAAAAGTTAAAATTTAACATCTGTAACATATGTTATATTTGGGATTACACTTTCTTTCTAGTACTTTTGTTGGGTTGAGTCCCATCCGGGATTCGAACTCACACCCTCAGAGTCAGGCACCTAATCGCCAGCACACAAAGTCAGCCGCCTAACCCGCTCAGCCACCGCGGCTTCCACAAAAATGGAAGTCGGACAACTGGTAGTCCAGACTGCGGGCTTTGTGTACCCCTCTGATAAGTGTAATCCCAAATATAACATATATTACATTTGACCACTTTCTAAATGGCATTGTGTATTTTTAACGACATCGCTACATATTGTTGTCCCACCTTTCTCTTGCCATCCACTCCATCCTGAGCCTCCAGCACCACAAAGACGAGGGACGACAGACTGCCCACAGACAAGTGGATCATATGCTCATAGCGGTCAGAAGCCAGTTCCTCGTTACCCTCAGCTAGCTCTGTGAAAAATATTTAAAGCATACCTATGAGGTTTGAATAACTGTTACTTTGTTTGCTTGTTCACATTCAGCAATATTCCAGCTTTATAGTGGTGGCGTGTTAATAATCAGGTCTGGACCATACAATCCAGTGATTGACATCATGTCAGCGTTCCACTTGAATGGGATACAATGACATGCATCAAGGCATTAGGGGTGAAACGGTATACCGCAGGTTCTACTAATACTGCGGTATACCATTTCACACCCCTAATGCCGGTTCGGTATATACTGTAATGCAATCCAAAATCTGGTATTTTCGTTTTTCGTACTGTCATTTATTAACCTGTTAAAATGGCTAGAAATCGAACCATTTTGTCAAAATCTATGCATTTCTTGGTCAGATGGAAATTATTTTCTCAAAAGGAAGTTCTCATATACCGAACCGAAACAGACCGAACCGAAGGCCGTGGTACCGCAACACGTATCGATCACGCGGGTACCCCTACAAGCTTCACCCCTACAAGTAAAAGGCATTGAATGAGTTTGACCATCTTAGTAGTCTGTGACAAAAAGTTTGGGTTCTTGAGGTCCAATTCTACATCAGAACTTATTCAGGCTTGAATAACCTCTAAATGATTTGTCTCTGTGATGGGTGAAGGTGTCAGGTAAGTCTGGAGCTGGGGAATTCTTGTCTAGAATAGTCTCAGCTTCATGTACTGTGTGGTCAGTGTGATAAAGTGTGAAAGTGTGGAATGTTGCTCAAACTTAAATCTTAATTATTTCTGGTGGAAACTGGATTATTGACAGGCTGTTGTTATGGTGAGTGAGTTTAGTTTTATGCTGCTTTTAGCAATATTCCAGCAATATCACGGCGAGGAACACCAGAAATGGGCTTCACACACTGTACCCCATTCTCTTCCCACAGAGGTTACTCCTGTCATATCTTCCTACGTAACCTCTGTTCTAATACGGCCCTTTCATGGTGTGAGCGTTCAAGACTCGTGATTGGAGACAATCAGATTTAGTTGTGCAATCAGCGACGTTGTTTCAAAAGTGATCATTCGCATGGCCTCGGTAATTTCCGTATACTTCGAGAAAACAAAACCTCTTCCTCTGCGCGATGCGTAAACGTTTCTTCTAGACAGAACTCAGTCATGTTATGGCGGATCAGTGGCGTCTCCATCGCCCTCGTTGACAACGGACAAGCTAGCCATTAAACGTCTTGTGTGTAACATCAACACAAGTCCCCGGCAGATGGGGGATATTTGTGGCCTCACATTTGCTTGTGTTAGTCATGTTGAATCTAAGTCGATGTAACACGTGTTCTGATTGGATAGAAAGAAGGGAGATAATTCGTGTTGCGATCTTTTGCCGCTAGGGGATTTTACGAGAAACGGGAAATATGGCCGTATTAGAACAGAGGTTACGCAGGAAGATATGACAGGAGTAACCTCTGTGGGAAGAGAATGACTGTACCCATGTGGGAAATCAAACCCGGGTCTTCAGCGTGATGAGCAAACACTTTAACCATTAGGCTACCCCACTTCCCCCTGCTGGTATAAAGCTAACATACTGCCCAGTCTGGCATTAAACAACAAAGGTTTGGTTCATATACTGAACAATGACCCATGTAATCTGGGAATAATGCCTCAAATTAACCAAATCACCATTGCCTGACCATCCCATCAATTCAGTCACCTTGAATACAAAGTATATGTAGCTGGGATGTCGAATATGACTTTGTAGAAGAAAGAAAGTTCCTTGAGAGAAGATACAGAGAACCTCCCCCCAAGTTTGGTGCACATCAAATATATCAAGACGAGTTGACAAATTTTAAACCTCAGAGGCTTGACAAGGATTTTTTCATCATTTTTCTCATCTAAATTTTACAGTGGTGTGTCCATACATTTGATAACAAAAAACACAAGGATGAAATTCTATTGGTCATCTAAAACAATTCTTCAAACTTTTTCAGTCTGTAACAGTTAAAAGAATGTCTTGAATGAACACTGTTACACCTAAAGAGATTAGCGATGTCTGTCAATTGTCTTGGCAATGGTCTGAAAAGCATTGTGATCCAATTTTGTAGCAGAAATATCTCCAAAGAGATTGATCCCACCAAAGTAGGTTTTGAAAAAGAAGACTATACAGTTTCTGTTGCAGTAGGGTAGACTGTAAGACCTACCTGTGAGTTTCTTTAATGCAGGTGGGTCTGCTCGGGTACAGTCCAGCAGTTTGTCAATGGCGCCAGTATGTTTTGATGCCACGGCCAGAAAATATTGGTTGGCAATACCTAGACATTTCCTGTCCATGGCCTCACTCAGATACACAGCACACTGTGGGCAGAACAAGGCACAAAGTGGATATACTACATCACAAGTTGACAGGAATCAGAAAACCAATTTAATGCTGCTTCTCAGAATGGTGAAGAAATCCATGTTATTCTGTATTGCATTGCATTGCATATTCAGAAACAAGTACTATGTCTCCAATGTGCAAAAATTTATAAAGAGGTAAATTAATCCCACTGAATAACATTTGATTACAATAAGTTTGACATCTGTAGTCAAAACGGCAAGCAGCACAAAAAGAGATTAGTCATTACTGAAAGTTTAAAAGTTTGTTTGTATGTGTAATCTCAAATATTCTCATCTTTATCAAATACAATACAGCATTTGGCCAGACCAATTTTATTTCTTGTTTTACAGATTTTTGTCCTCAGAAAACCTCAAGCCAGGATGGAAAAAACATAAAAATAAAATCACCACTCAAAGTAATATTCCTTCTAAATATTAAAAGTATTTTGCTTCTGGCAATTTATGAAGTGTTTATCGGGCAAAACACAATCAAACAAGAAAGTTTACATTTTTGGCCAATAAAAACACAAGGATTGTGTTTTTTGAGCATGGAAAATTAATTTTTATATTTTTCTCTTATTCTTGATAAAATATGACCGGTGGATTCGTACAAGAAGAAATATAATTGGTCTGGCCTTATCTGGTTTTGCAAGACACAAAATCCTGTTCAACATCCAGTGACCACAGTGTTTCAGCCCTATGGATGTTGCTGAGGTAACAAGGACCAGTATTATTATATAAGCAACTAATGATAAAAATTCAGCTCTCTGACTGAGATATATTTTTAGAACACAAATCCATGTATATGATTTCATATGCACAATAAATATGAAATTTTTAGAGTAAAATTAATATTTTATACTTATCCTGACTCATGCTTATTGCTTGTCTTCTTCTTCTTGCGAACATAGTGGAACACGTGTATCTCCCAATTGAAGTTCCCTTCAATTAAAAAATGACTAATTAGTACTCACCACGAGTTACCTCCCTTCCACAAGCGCGGGAACGAGGGCGCCACCTCAGCCCATGTGCCTCACTCTCTCCTTTTGTTTTGAGCCCGACACTTTATTTTTCCGAAGAAATCCAAAGTGTTAAGTGGGGAGGACGGACGGAGGCTTACCTCATGAGTCAGGATAAGTATAAAATATTAATTTTACTCTAAAAATTTCATATTTTCCTTATCCTGACTCATGCTTATTGCTTGTAGAATCCTGATGGAAAAGGAGGTGGGAATATATATACTTTGGATTTTAATAATTAGTGATTTGAACTGTGATGATTGTAATAACCCTATGGGAACTTCATAAAGGCACTGAACTGATGAATTCCTGCTGCTTAACTTATCAGCTGCCATATAAAGGTTATTACAATTTATTGAATATGATAAAGTATATACAACATTAATGTAAGCTGAAGCTATTAATGTGATAGTATAAACTTCTGTGAGTTTATAGTGGATACTTTTATAAATGAACCAAAGTATTAAGCTTAAGATATGCATATATTTAAGCTATAATAGTATAGTACTGTGCTTAAGATATAATTATAACTTAAGCTGTATAATAGTAACCAACTCCTTAGAGTTTGTTAGCTAATACATTTATGCATATGACCATATGACTGAGCTTAAGGATTGATGAAACTTAAGCTGAACATATATATAATAGCAAAACTCCTAGGAGTTGTAAGCTTATATATAGTATGATATAAAAACCATAGTACTGAGCTTAAGATAATAAATTAAACTTAAGCAAAATATATAGATAGCATGTAGCTATTAGTACTGTTATCAGATAAGTATAAAATCTGTAAGATAGACTTATCTTCTCCGTGGAACTGTCAACTGTTGAGCTTGAGGACCATGGGACCGAAATGGTGGATACCTGAGACGCCCTCGTGGTGATATCTCTCAGATAGTGGTTGGCAAACACCATATCAGATCTCCAGAAACATCCCTCCATTATGGTATTCAACGAGCAATTCCCATGTAGAGCGAGAGTTGAGGCTAGCGTTCTAATTTCGAGAGGATTAGAAGCTCTTGAGGGTCGAGTCCCGCAGCCTTGTAGGCACGTAGTATGACAGTTCTGATCCAGATAGAGATAGTAGTACGTGAGACTTCCGTCTGCGTAGCTGTAGATAGAGGGATAAATAATCTCTTGAATTTCCCTCTGCTCTGTTTGGATCGTTGGAGATATATTTTCAGTGCTCTCACTGGGCATAGTGATAGATCCATCGTATCATGCGGTCCAAGTATGGATGAGAGAGCTGGGACGTGGAATAATCTGTCTGGTTGACCTGGCAGTTGGTTTTTCGCTATAAAATCCCAGCGAAGTCCCAGATGAGCGATGTTATGAATATCATCAAAGCGTGTTCTCTCGTAATCCAATGCGTGAATCTCTGACATCCTGGCGGCCGTAGCTAGTGCTAACAGGAATAAGGTTTTATGGGTCAGTGATTCAAACGATGTAGATGGCAATGGTTCATAAGCCTCACTAGTGAGGTGTTGGAGCACTATATTTAGATCCCAGGCTGGAGCGTGAAACTTCCGTTTCTGATCCTCCAATCGAACGCCAGAATAAAGCGAAAGTAACTCTGGTGTTTTTGCTAACTTGACGCTCGCTCGCGATAGTTATTACAGAACTTATAGCTGCAAGATAAGTGGACAAGGTTGAGCCTTTTAGATTCTTAGTTTGTCGTAGATAACATAAGAAATCTGCCACTTGAGGATGTGTAGCATATCTGGCTGTAAATCCTTTCTTAGCAGCTAATTGACAAAACTGTGCCATTTGTCATCGTGATAAGTTAAGAGTTGAGTTACGTGAGTATAAGCGTGACCGCTTTAGCGCGCCTGGCAGAATAACCTCTCTTATTCAGACATGCCTTGATACAATCCATACGTGAATTTGGAATGCTTTCTGGTGTTTCGTGCACTTGTTTGGTGTGCGGATGTATCAATAGATTGGCGCCAGAGTGGAGCTGAAGAATTGGTTTTCCCATTACTTGAATGAGATCTGGAAACCAAGTTCTCGGCTGGCCAGTAGGGTGCACCAAAAATCAGATGGAGGCTCTGCGTTTGACTGATTTTCTGTAAGACTTGTGGGATCAACGCTGGAGGCGGAAAGCGACGCGCTTTGAGTCTCTCCCACGATATGCTTAGTGCGTCCGTTGCCCATGCTAGTGGGTCTGGCACTGGCTTAATAATTTAATGTTGTCAGTTGCTTGTTGAATCGAGTGGCTTAATAGGTCTATCAGTGGAGATCCCTATTTCCATGATTATTTGATTGAATATCTCTGTGTGGAGCATCCATTCTGTCGGCGACGGTTGGTGTGTGCCGAGAGAGCGCCTGCTAATACATTCTTTGCTCCTGGAATGTGGCAAGCTCTGACGTGTATGTTTAGATTGTCGATTAAATCGAACAGTCTGAAACATCGAAGTCAGTAGGTTCGGTGACCTTGTTGAACCTTGTTTGTTCACATAAAATGCCACTGTTGAATTGTCTGTGTGAACCATCAACTGAGCCGTTCTGTGGTATGTTGCTCCAGTGACTTATGGCGTTTATGACTGCTTGCATCTCTAGCAGATTTATGTGACATTTGCTCTCTTGATTGCTCCATAGGCCTGACGCTGTCCTGCCAGCAAGGTGGGCTCCCCAACCTTGTAGTGACGCCAGCGTCGTAGAGATGTGTGTTCGATTCGCTCTACTAAGGAGACTGCGCTAAACATTCAATCTCTTGGTCCACCAGAGTAGATGTGGTTTGACATAATCTGGTAGACTGAATGGTAGAGGGTCCTCGAGATGAGCATTGATGAGGACTTGTAACGGACGCAATTCAAGCCTGCCTCTGACTGTCAAGTCTTGAGCTGATGTGAGTAGTCCCAATAGGCTCTGCCACTGTCGTAGTGGTAACGGAGAGTAGTAGGGCTTGAGGAATAAGTTGTTGGATCTTGATCCATCTGTCCTCGGGACTACAATACGATTCTGAGCTGTTAGAAATCAGATACCTAGAAATTGCAGATCCTGGCGCTGGTTCTAGGTCCGACTTGAGTAGATTTACTAACCATCCTAATTGTGTTAGTAGCTTGATTATAAAGTTCAGATGTAGTCTGAGACGCTGTGGATCTGGATCCACTTGCATACCGTCGTCTAGGTAAAAAGCGCTGCGAAGACCTTGACGATGTAGGTATGAGACAATAGGCTTGGTCACTCTTGTGAATACCCAAGGGGCCGATGTGATTCCGAAGGGAAGAACCTTCCATTGGTAATGTTTCCTGTCTAGGATAAATCTTAGATATTTCCTTGAGTTGGGATGAATCGGAATGTGTAGAGCGCGCCTTGCAAATCTATGCTGGCCATGTAATCTTTGGGACCTAATTAAATGCCGGTTGCGGTAAGTGTATCATGCGCAAACGCTGGTGGTTTGCATAGATATTCTCTGTTGAAGATGCTCATGTTGTATATGAGACGAAACTTCTCCTTGGAATTTTTCTTCGGCACTATGAAAACTGGGGAGTAGAAACCTGGTACGATGTTTCGTTGATCCAGAACTTCTAAGGCCTGTTTGTTTAGCAGAGTAAGTACTGTTTCTCTTAACATAGGTAGTTGTGCCGGTTGAACATTGAACCCTGTGGGGTTGACTGTTAACGGAGGCTTGGCCTTGAGTTGTATTAGATATCCGTGCTGTAGGATGTTGGATACATATGGATCTTGTAGTATTCCCCAGTTTTCCCAGTGTAGCTGAAGGCGTCCACCCACTTGAGACGGTTGTACTGGAACGGCTGGGGGTGGAAGACTCCAGTCGTTCCGAACCTGAATTTCATCGTCTAAATCCACGGGCACCTCTGGATGATCTGCCTCTAGCTGATCCTCCCCTAAATTTGTTGTATGGGCGATGAAAAGAATCCTTGGGATCTTTAGCTGCAGCTAATTTCTTGTCCCGTGCTTTCTGTAGCCCCGAAAACTTAGACTTGCCCGAGTATCTCTGTGCTGACTGTTTAATGACGCTCGCTAAGGTATCCATGGATCTGATCATAAGTACCTCTCTCGAAGTCTTTAGATACTCTTGGAGACCTTGTCTATGTTGCCATCAAACAGTAAGGGCTGCATGACCATGGAGCTGTGTATAGAGATTCTGTAAATTGCTTATCCCAAGAGCAGGAGGCTAGTAAGCCTTGGCCGACTCCAGCCATGGTAGTAGTTTCAGTAAGCTGACAGGTGCTCTGTAAGAAATTGGTGGTCTCTTTTCTGCATGAGTAGAGCTGAGTAGATCATTCTATCTTCCTCCTCTGTAGAATTCTTGAACTTGGTGATGAGAGTTTCATTAATCGCTCTAGATCTATTCAATCCAAAGAACATTCTCCTGAGATGGTATCTAATTGAGCAAATTTATGATCGCCTACTCTGTAACTTCTGGACTTGGCATCGCTGATTAATTTAAAGTTGTCATCAATATCCTGGGCCTTGAAAAAGGGTCCATATTGTGTCCAGCAAATTTCTTGGCATTGAAGACCGGGAAATGTGTAGATGGACTTTCTCAAGATTTGGAACAGGCTGTATCCAGATTAGCTGGTACCGCTGCAATCGGGTCAATAGGAGGTAAGGTGATATTGTCTACATCATCATCCTTCATCAGGTAAGTCTGAGTTGAATTCTCGCTCTTCGATGGGGAAGCAAGTTGTAACTCATTCACCATCCAGTATCTAATCTCAGCATCTGAGAAAATGATACCTTCTTCCTCTGGATGTAGGGTCACATGTCGGAGTCCTAGATCTGTAGGAAAGATCTATGAGAGGACTGTGGTGAACGGACTGGACGAAAGTGGCTAGTGTAAGGAGACCTTGGAGGAGACATCCTCGGCGCTTAACGCTGGGACTTCAAGAAAGCTCTTCTAAATCTTCTGGGCGAGGTAGATATGGAGCCATTTTAGCCTTCGCGACCTTCGCTAATGTAATGTATCGAGTCAGTGTCCGAATCGACATATGAGCTTTGCTTCATGAATCCACCTCTGTGTTCTACAGGGTGTGGGCTCATGGCTAAGCCCTTCTCCGCGATGTCCCTCGCGAACTGGAGAGGCTCTAGCTCCTTCTGAGGCGCCTGGGACTTCCTTTGAGAAGTGACGCTACCGGCTGGGTTGCTCTTCAGCGGAGGAGGCTTTGTGGGCTCTGGGGTCTCTACGCGAAGCCAAGGCGGGCTCTGGGGCCCTGTATGACTTATTATGGGTTGGGCTCTGGGTTCTGTGGCTCTGGGGCCTCTGTAAACCGTAACGGTCCTCCATCAGTCTCATGATTTGGTTAACCAGGTCGTCTGGGACGGTCTGCGCTGGCGTTGAGGGTGGCCTCTCTGTGAAAGTGACGGGACCCTCAATCTTAAACTCAGGCGTCAGCGTAGGCATCTCTGGTTGCGTGTTGATCTGCGCTGTAGTGACGGTAGCAGATACTGGACGCTTATGACGCACATCTGAATGGAATGTCATCATCATATAAACATAATTCTGAGAAGGTAGAATATCGGAGGCAAAATTATTTGTAGCCAGAGATTTCCCTTGATGAGCTGTGGACCTGGGGTTCAAGCGTACGCTGAGATGATGTGGACGCTTCCTAGTCTTAGACTGTGAAGACGGAATGTCTTGAGATGCAGGTTGCTTCTTGGACATAGCGGACTGCGTCCCACGCTTATCCCCCGAGGGAAACTCCGGCAGGCCAACAGTCGGTGGCAGGTCGTCAGTCAACAGTTGACAGGGTATATTAGCTTCCGATCTATTAGCCATGACTGAAGATTGTTTGCGAGATTTATCTGCACTTCCGTCTCAAAACGGAACATAAATATTTATCAAAGGCAGCAATTGGTAAATTAATACATAATTTACAACGAGAAACTATAGAACATGGAGTAATGCAACTAGGGCATTTTAATTGTGGATCGGTAGTGGAATAACGTAGTTTACAACCTGTGCAGATTCTCATTAACGTAAACTGCTGAACAAATACGGCGAACCGTGAATAAAACAGCAGAAACACGACTAATAATCAATGCAAGTTGAATAAGGATACTAGTTACACCTCTATAACTGAATATAAGAGGTACTAAACTAAATTTTAATAAAGGATATAGTGTGTTGGGAGACACTACGCTCTCACGTCCAGCTCACTGGGCGAAGAAGGAGAGAGTGAGGCACATGGGCTGAGGTGGCGCCCTCGTTCCCGCGCTTGTGGAAGGGAGGTAACTCGTGGTGAGTACTAATTAGTGATTTTTTAATTGAAGGGAACTTCAATTGGGAGATACTTGTGTTCAACTATGTTCGCAAGAAGAAGAAGAGAAGCAATAAGCATGAGTCAGGATAAGGAAAAATATATTGCTTTTTTTTAATCTATTTCCAACATTAAGGGTATGAATTTACTGGACCTAGCCACATATGATATGGATACTGAAAAAAATGTTGTCCGAATGCTATGTAGCTGAAGGTGCTGCAGCACTGACCAGCAGAGTCTGTTCCCGGAGTCTCAGATCCTCGTCTATCTGGAGAGACAGCAGCTTCGGCACCAGCCCCATGAACTGGAGCATGTTGGACAAGAACTCCTGGGCACTGGAGGAGAATACACATAGTGAGTGGCTGACTGAGTGGTTGGTTGGTTGGTTAAATGAGTGATTGGTTAGATAGATAGTGGGTTAGTTGAGTGGTTGGTTGTTTGGTATGCTGAATGAGGGGTTGGTTAGTTGAGTGGTTAGTAGGTTGCTGAATGAGTGGTGGTTGGATAGTGTTTGAGTGGTAGGTTGCTGTATGAATGAAGGGTTGGTTAGATAGTGGGATAGTGAGTGGCTGGTTGTTTGGTATGCTGAATGAAGAGTTGGTTAGATAGTGGATAGTTGAGAATGGTTGGCTAGTTTGGTATGCTGGAATGAGAGGTTGGTTAGTGGGATAGATGCTGAATAGTGGGGTTAGCTGAATGAAGAGTTGGTTAGATAGTGGGATAGTTTGAGTGGTTGTTAGATAGCGGGTTTGTTGGAATGGTATGCTGAATGAGGGGTTGGTTAGATAGTAGGTTATGCTGAGAGTGGTTGGTTGTTTGGTATGCTGCTGAATATGAGATAGTTGAGTGGCTGGGTTGGTTAGATAGTGGGATAGTTGAGTGGACAGTTGGCTGGACAGTTTGGTATGCTGAATGAGAGGTTGGTTAGATAGTGGGTTAGCTGAGTGGTTGTTTGTTTGGTATGCTGAATGAGGGGTTGGTTAGATAGTAGGTTACCAGAGTGGTTGGTTGTTTGGTATGCTGTATGAGGGGTTGGTTAGATAGTGAGGGTTGGTTGGATAGTTGAGTGGTTGGTTGTTTGGTATGCTGAATGAGAGTGGTTGGTTGTTTAGATAGTGGGTTAGTTGAGTGGTTGTTTGTTTGGTATGCTGAATGAGGGTTGGTTAGATAGTAGGTATTACCAGTTGAGTGGTTGGTTGTTTGGTATGCTGTGTTAATGAGGGGTTGGTTAGATAGTGGGATAGTTGAGTGGTTGGTTGTTTGGTATGCTGAATGAGAGGGTTGGTTAGATAGTGGGATAGTTGAGTGGTTGGTTGTTTGGTATGCTGAATGAGGGGTTGGTTAGATAGTGGGATAGTTGAGTGGTTGGTTGTTTGGTATGCTGAATGAGGGTTGGTTAGATAGTGGGTTACCCGAGTGGTTGGTTGTTTGGTATGCTGAATGAAGGGTTGGTTAGATAGTGGGATAGTTGAGTGGTTGGTTGTTTGGTATGCTGAATGAAGGGTTGGTTAGATAGTGGGTTACTTGAGTGGTTGTTGGTTAAGGGTTTGGTTGGTTGGTTCACTGGCTGGTTGAGTGATCAGTTGGTTGAGAGAGTGGAATGAGTGCTTGGTTCAGCAGTCAGTAGGTTGAGTGATTGCTTGATTCGTTGAATTAGAGTTTGATTCAATGGCTGGTTAATAAATGTGGGTGAGTTGAGGGTGTGGTTGGTTGAGTGGATATTTTGTTGTAAAGGTCACTGGTTTAGTGGAAATAGTCGTCTAAAGCTAATTTAATCTACATCTACTTACACTTCCTTGCCGACCCTGTCGCTCCAGCTGATCTCGCTGGCAAAGTAGGCATTGACTGTGATGACCAGGTCTATCAGGATCTGCTGGCACCATGGTTGCTATGGAAACACAGAACATTATACTCACAGTACTCAAATGTAATCCAACCAATCAAAGAAAACTGTCCCTAAGTGAGTTATTCAGGTTACAGATTGGGAAACTTCTAAATTAAGTCCAATCCAAACACGAGCCATGCTCAGTAGCCATTAGAACTCCCATTTTGGTTTACCCAACTACTATTTGGCTAAGGACAAGACAGAGGTGTCACTTGAAACATGTTTTCCTGTACTAAGTTAGGACTGGCAGAGGCCCAGATAAGCTGCGTATCCGGGTAAAATACGCATAGAAACTTTCCAATTACGCATTGAAAAATAATTGTTGCGTACCAATTACGCATTTTAAATGTTTGATACGCAAAAAGTTTAAAACAAATGCGTACAGAATATATTATAAAAATCGCTTGCGTAATGAAAAAGACATCGATTGCTATCAAGTTGTACTGTTAGTATAGGACAAGTGTTGTACTGTCAGTGTAGGATGAGTGATTTTTTATGAAATCATTTCCATTATATTTAAGTTGGATTTGATTAGGTATGACATAAGGCAGAACATACCTGCTTAGTAAACTTACTCAATGACGTAATACTTAGGTGAGTAAAATGATTGAAATACGCACATATTTGAAAGCAGTGGGTAACGGAAAATGAAATACCCACTCAACATTCATAATACCCACTCTAAAAAAATACAGTGGGTACAGTACCCACATGAGCTAAATCTTATCTGGAGCTCTGACTGGTCAACATTATGTCAACTTATACTAGTGTGTAGGTCTGTGTTCACACAGGTCATAGCCATTTACCACTTGTGTCATTGTTGGTGAAACTCATGAGGCATGGCATTTAGAGGACATACCATTTATCAGGGCCGACAAATATGAAAATAGAGGGAGGCAACTCTGTTTATCCATTTAATAAGGCATGAATCATTCATTTATCTGTTTGTTATATGATAATAGAGGGAGGCAACTCTGTTTATCCATTTAATTAGGCATGAATCATTCATTTATCTGTTTGTTATATGATAATAGAGGGAGGCAACTCTGTTTATCCATTTAATAAGGCATGAATCATTCATTTATCTGTTTGTTATATGATAATAGAGGGAGGCAACTCTGTTTATCCATTTAATTAGGCATGAATCATTCATTTATCTGTTTGTTATATGATAATAGAGGGAGGCAACTCTGTTTATCCATTTAATAAGGCATGAATCATTCATTTATCTGTTTGTTATATGATAATAGAGGGAGGCAACTCTGTTTATCCATTTAATAAGGCATGAATCATTCATTTATCTGTTTGTTATATGATAATAGAGGGAGGCAACTCTGTTTATCCATTTAATAAGGCATGAATCATTCATTTATCTGTTTGTTATATGATAATAGAGGGAGGCAACTCTGTTTATCCATTTAATAAGGCATGAATCATTCATTTATCTGTTTGTTATATGATAATAGAGGGAGGCAACTCTGTTTATCCATTTAATAAGGCATGAATCATTCATTTATCTGTTTGTTATATGATAATAGAGGGAGGCAACTCTGTTTATCCATTTAATAAGGCATGAATCATTCATTTATCTGTTTGTTATATGATAATAGAGGGAGGCAAGTCTGTTTATCCATTTAATAAGGCATGAATCATTCATTTATCTGTTTGTTATATGATAATAGAGGGAGGCAAGTCTGTTTATCCATTTAATAAGGCATGAATCATTCATTTATCTGTTTGTTATATGATAATAGAGGGAGGCAACTCTGTTTATCCATTTAATAAGGCATGAATCATTCATTTATCTGTTTGTTATATGATAATAGAGGGAGGCAAGTCTGTTTATCCATTTAATAAGGCATGAATCATTCATTTATCTGTTTGTTATATGATAATAGAGGGAGGCAAGTCTGTTTATCCATTTAATAAGGCATGAATCATTCATTTATCTGTTTGTTATATGATAATAGAGGGAGGCAACTCTGTTTATCCATTTAATAAGGCATGAATCATTCATTTATCTGTTTGTTATATGATAATAGAGGGAGGCAACTCTGTTTATCCATTTAATAAGGCATGAATCATTCATTTATCTGTTTGTTATATGATAATAGAGGGAGGCAACTCTGTTTATCCATTTAATAAGGCATGATCATCATTCATTTATCTGTTTCCATTTATATGATAATAGTTTGTTATATGATAATAGAGGGAGGCAACTCTGTTTATCCATTTAATAAGGCATGAATCATTCATTTATCTGTTTGTTATATGATAATAGAGGGAGGCAACTCTGTTTATCCATTTAATAAGGCATGAATCATTCATTTATCTGTTTGTTATATGATAATAGAGGGAGGCAACTCTGTTTATCCATTTAATAAGGCATGAATCATTCATTTATCTGTTTGTTATATGATAATAGAGGGAGGCAAGTCTGTTTATCCATTTAATAAGGCATGAATCATTCATTTATCTGTTTGTTATATGATAATAGAGGGAGGCAACTCTGTTTATCCATTTAATAAGGCATGAATCATTCATTTATCTGTTTGTTATATGATAATAGAGGGAGGCAACTCTGTTTATCCATTTAATAAGGCATGAATCATTCATTTATCTGTTTGTTATATGATAATAGAGGGAGGCAAGTCTGTTTATCCATTTAATAAGGCATGAATCATTCATTTATCTGTTTGTTATATGATAATAGAGGGAGGCAACTCTGTTTATCCATTTAATAAGGCATGAATCATTCATTTATCTGTTTGTTATATGATAATAGAGGGAGGCAAGTCTGTTTATCCATTTAATAAGGCATGAATCATTCATTTATCTGTTTGTTATATGATAATAGAGGGAGGCAAGTCTGTTTATCCATTTAATAAGGCATGAATCATTCATTTATCTGTTTGTTATATGATAATAGAGGGAGGCAAGTCTGTTTATCCATTTAATAAGGCATGAATCATTCATTTATCTGTTTGTTATATGATAATAGAGGGAGGCAAGTCTGTTTATCCATTTAATAAGGCATGAATCATTCATTTATCTGTTTGTTATATGATAATAGAGGGAGGCAAGTCTGTTTATCCATTTAATAAGGCATGAATCATTCATTTATCTGTTTGTTATATGATAATAGAGGGAGGCAAGTCTCTGTTTATCCATTTAATAAGGCATGAATCATTCATTTATCTGTTTGTTATATGATAATAGAGGGAGGCAACTCTGTTTATCCATTTAATAAGGCATGAATCATTCATTTATCTGTTTGTTATATGATAATAGAGGGAGGCAAGTCTGTTTATCCATTTAATAAGGCATGAATCATTCATTTATCTGTTTGTTATATGATAATAGAGGGAGGCAAGTCTGTTTATCCATTTAATAAGGCATGAATCATTCATTTATCTGTTTGTTATATGATAATAGAGGGAGGCAAGTCTGTTTATCCATTTAATCATTTAGGCATGAATCATTCATTTATCTGTTTGTTTGTTATATGATAATAGAGGGAGGCAAGTCTGTTTATCCATTTAATAAGGCATGAATCATTCATTTATCTGTTTGTTATATGATAATAGAGGGAGGCAAGTCTGTTTATCCATTTAATAAGGCATGAATCATTCATATATCTGTTTGTTATATGATAATAGAGGGAGGCAAGTCTGTTTATCCATTTAATAAGGCATGAATCATTCATTTATCTGTTTGTTATATGATAATAGAGGGAGGCAACTCTGTTTATCCATTTAATAAGGCATGAATCATTCATTTATCTGTTTGTTATATGATAATAGAGGGAGGCAACTCTGTTTATCCATTTAATAAGGCATGAATCATTCATTTATCTGTTTGTTATATGATAATAGAGGGAGGCAACTCTGTTTATCCATTTAATAAGGCATGAATCATTCATTTATCTGTTTGTTATATGATAATAGAGGGAGGCAACTCTGTTTATCCATTTAATAAGGCATGAATCATTCATTCATCTGTTTGTTATATGATAATAGAGGGAGGCAAGTCTGTTTATCCATTTAATAAGGCATGAATCATTCATTTATCTGTTTGTTATATGATAATAGAGGGAGGCAAGTCTGTTTATCCATTTAATAAGGCATGAATCATTCATATATCTGTTTGTTTGGTTGTTGCTCAATGTCACACTTAACAATATTCCAGCTACGTGGTTTGTAAATAATCGAGTCTTGACAAGACAATCCAGTGATCAACAGCATGAGCATCGTTCAATGCAGTTGACATGTATTAGCCAAGTCAGCGGGCCTGACCATCTGATCCCGTTAGTCGCCTCTCACGACAAGTCTGGGTTGCTGAAGATCAATTTTAACCCGGATCTTCACAGGGGCATAAATCATTCACTAACGAAGTAAGAAGAATCATATCAGAACAAGTTTGACTTATGAAACACATTGTACCTGTTTGACTTTGGGTTTTTCCAGGATCTGGGTGAGGATATCAAACACTCTTCCTGGCACAGACATGGACTTGACAAATGAAAGAACCTTGAAGACATCGCTGAAACAAAGAAACTAGGTCACCCGGATGATTAAATAACATGTTATGTTTGTTACCTGTTTCATGCCACAGTGAGCAATCTACCAACAAAAACATGGTAACCTTTGAATAATCTTGCATATAGATTCCAATGATTGATATAAAAGGCATCACACCAAACTATAACATGTTATATATGGGATTACACTTTCTCAGTAAAGTCCAGATTCTAGTACTTTTGTTGGGTTGAGTTCCATCCTGGATTCGAACCTACATATTCAGAGTCAGGCACCTAATCGCCAGCACACAAAGCCAGCCGCTAAACCCGATCAGCCACCGCGACTTCCACAATGTTTGTCTTCTGACATACATACACACAGCAGATTGTGATAGAAATATTTTATGGGTGAGGTGAGGTGAAATTGGGTTTAACTTCGCGCTGGAGAATATTTCGCTCATATGACGACGTGAATGCGTGTGTATGTGTATGTAGGGCTGCTTGTACTAGCCCAGACTGAAGCTGGTTTTATAGTGCTAGCCCACTGAGATACTATGCCGCAGTGAAGCATGAATACCCCACTCAGACACATTATACTGACTCCGAGGCGACCAGTCCTTGATGTACCCATTAATGCCGAGCGCCAGGCAGGGACCAACAAGTACCATATTTTAACGTCTTTTGGTATGACGCGGCCGGGGATCGAACCCGCGACCTTCCGCTCTCCGGGCAGATGCTCTAACTACTACACCACGGAGGCGGTCAATCACTGAAAGAAAGACGCCTTTCAGATTTATAATATGAAGAATATCATGCATGTTTACTGTACATGGTGACATACCAGTGATTGATGTTATGAACACCATCCCATGTTGTTTGGGGTATAGCAGTCTAAGTAAACTTAGGCTCAGCATTATTCGTTACACTGCTATATACCGAATCGAACAAACTCCTAGTAGAAGGTCGCATCAGCTAACATTTGAGCAACCTACGACTGTCCGATCAAATGCAAGACTTACAAATGGATTCAACCAATCAAACAACGGCTACTATTTACAGTTCAGCAAGACTTACAAAACGATGCACCATGAAACTGATAGTGCGATCGGAAAAGTGCTTCCTCATAAAACACAGACCTGCAGCATATACACTTTGGGTTTCTGTTGACATGGTTACTATTAGCTTAAATTTCCGCAAGATGACATCTTGGAATATTGACAAAAATGCTATTTTCAGCGACTGTCTACTCACTGTTGTGAATAATGGTGTCCTCCATGCGTATCACTCAGAAGCGATCGTAATGACAATAGCATACGGTATTGTTCGAGTACAAATGTTTTCAGGGTAAAAGTCCAAATGCTTTATGTTAACTTTCGTGATTTGGTAAGCTGTGTTCCGATTGGTCAATTCAAAAGGTTAGCAGACGCAACCTTCTAGCAGTGTAATGAATAATACTGGTGGTAAAGTAGCAGACGCAACCTTCTACTAGGGTTTGTTAGACTCAGTATAGCAGTGTAATGAATAATACTGGTGGTACAGTGACACACAATCAAGACATAGAGCCTGTAACACAGCAGATAGCCAGGGAAATATTTACCCTTCGTTCTAGAGAACTAAAACATCAACAGCCTTGCAATACACTTGACTTTGGGTTGTCATTCATTCGAAGTGTGTGGGGGATTGCTAATTTACTACTCTTGGTTGACATTGATATTTGTAGTGTTAACCAACAGAGGCAATACAATACATATCCATAATAGTTTTTTGTGACTGTTATCATAAAGTGATATGTTATCATTCATAGTAGACCGCCTCCGTGGTGTAGTGGTTAAAGCGTCCGCCCGGAGAGCGGAAGGTCCGGGTTCGATCCCCGACCGTGTCATACCAAAAGACGTTAAAATGTGGTACTTGTTGGTCCCTGCCTGGCGCTCGGCATTATGGGTACAACAAGGACTGGTCGGCTCGGAGTCAGTATAATGTGTCTGAGTGGGGTATTCATGCTTCACTGCGGTGTGGTATCTCAGTGGGCTAGCACTATAAAACCAGCTTAAGTCTGGGCTAGTACAAGCAGCCGCGCATCCACATACACAAACATGCACGTCGTCATATGAGCGAAATATTCTCAAGCACGACGCTAAACCCAATTTCACCTCACCTCACCTCACCTCATTCATAGTAAAACTTGTCATTTTTGTAATTATCTAATGCATCAGAGCTGGATGATAAAGGTAACTTTTAGAGGTAAATTAGATCTATTATATTTTCTTGTTATGAATTTGGGCTCTGGTTGGTTGATCCCACAAATAAGTTAAAAATGGAAATAAGCCGTTGTGAAGCTAAATGATTACTAAAGAAATGCTTACAATGATTGCCACATTTTTGTCAAAACTGCAAAGAACATTCTGTGGGTATGGGTCAGAATCCTGGATGGGACACCAGCTTAAAAAGTACTAGAACTTGTACTTTACTGAGAAAATATATTCCCAAAAGGAACATATGTGTCATGATGTGATGGAACAAAGAACACACTTTTCTATTACAACAAGAAGACAAAGTCATCAATATCCCCCGCAATGGCAAAATACTCTTTATGAATATGTCTACTAGTTATGATTATGTCACATGTTTTGGAGTGTATACAGCAAAAGTGGAAGGAGAGTATTGAAAGGTTTTTAAGATCTGCTCCAGAAAGGAGCACTATCACCAAGTTCAGTTGAAGCCTAACTTGTTGCCATGGAAATGCAACAAGATGACATCCTCATAGTCACAGCCTAAGTCATGTTTCCATGGAAACCCCCAAATCTAAAATTCACATCTGGGTCTAATCCGGAAAGGCACATCTAGGGATCATGCTTGACATATGTACCAAGTTTGATGAAGCTAGCGTGTAAAATTTAGGAGATCTGCTCCGGACAAGATGACATCCTCATAATCACAGTCTAAGTCATGTTTCCATGGAACCCACAAAAAATAAAATTCACATCTGGGTCTAACCCCCAAAGAGCACATCTAGGGATCATGCTTGACATGTGTACCAAGTTTGGTTAAGCTATCATGAATAATTTAGGAGATATGCTTCGGACAAAGTGTGACGAACTCACAAACGCTCGGACAGAACCGTTTCTATATCCCCTGCAACTTCGTTTTTGCGGGGGATAAAAACACAAATACTTTTGAAGTTGACAACAGTCACCAAACATAGTTCCATCTTACCATTTGAGTGTGACAAGGTTTGTGAGGACTCTTAATGCCGTCCTGAGTCTAGCGGCTCCCTCCAGCATTCCGTCCTGGACTTGGGCTGAGCTGCTCTTGAGTCGAGCGTCAAGCTTCGAGATGAACTTTGAGTCCTGGAGGAACTGAAGGGCAATTTCAGGGTCACCCTCCTGGTCAGTTGTCTCAACCACCACGGTCCACTCATCTTCGCTGTCCACTTCCTGTCCACGCAATGTATACACAATGAGTCAAATATGAATTGTGTTCCAAATATATGGTAACAAATACAAATACTTTTTGTTTAATATTGAGCGATGAAAACAAAAAACATGCCATGTAATTGCTTAAGTCACTTAGATCAAAACACACTAGTTCCAAGTAAAAAACACTCTCTCAAAAATATTCAAAAATATTTAGAAATGTTCAATTCCAGTGACCAAGAGTAATGAATTGAATTTATGAAGAGATATGATTCATTTCAACAGCAACAGGACTACAGAAAAGCAATAATATTCTTATATTATCACAAAGTACACATCACTAATATAACAGGAATAGATTAAAGAAATGTTCTAAAACACCCTAGGAGGTAAATATACCAGCATATTTATTCATTCCCTACATCTGGGCTGGCTTGATCCTGTGAGTATGGTTTTACACCGCTTTTAGCAATATTCAAGAAATATCTCGGCGGGGTACACCAGAAATGGGCTTCACACATTGTATCCATGTGGGGAATTGAACCCGGGTCTTCGGAGTGACGAGCAAATGCTTTAACCACTAGGCTACCCCACCACCCCTGGATATAGATGAAACTGCAGCACTGAACAACAAACTTTAAATTCTGTCAACTTGTGATTGATCCACAATCTTATTCTAGTCAAAACTAATTTAGTCTAGAAAGTTGAACTTATCAAATCATAGTCTCTTTGTTAGATTAGTTTGTTTGAACTCAGCAATACTCCAGCGATATTGATGGCAATAAACAGAGTCTATGGTAATGGGCTGCTTAAAACACTGTGGTGGGATTGTTAGTATTTTGATTCAGTTTACATTAGTGGTGTTCCGATTAATTGAAATAATCGAAGATTGGTCGCAGTGACCAAATGACCAAGCAATCGATCACATTTTCTCATAATCGAACATAAACGATTTTGGAACTACTGTTTTAGTCTTTGAAATACTTGACAATGGAACATATCTTAGAAGTTGCCAGGGCCTAAAAACATGTTTATTTCTTAGAAAACTCACTCCACTAACTGAAAAGTCATGACTGAATTTTTCTCTAAGACTCCAGGAAGTTTATGTTTATGATATATTAGTCATCACTTTAATGTAGCAAGTTGCAACATGTTATACTTTTCTGCAGTAACAACCTGGATAGGAAAATCTGAAAAATGACGCTAACCAATTTTTTTCGATGATTGTTCGTTGGTAATGAAGCATTCATCAATTGTGAGATTTCAACCAATTCCGAACACTAGTTTACAAGAACAGAATTGTTACCCAAAAACCCATGCAATGGCACGGTTTGGTTTGTTGTTTAACACAGAACTCAGCAATATTCCAGCTATATGACGGCGGTCTGTAAATAATCGAGTCTGGACCAGAAAAAACCAGTGATCAAGAGCATGGGCATCGACCTGCACAATTGGGAACCGATGACATGTGTCAACGAAGTCAGTGAGCCTGACCACCCAATCCCGTTAGTCGCCTCTTACGACAAGCATGGGTTACTGAAGATCAATTCACAGGTCCACAACACTGAATAAATATTATTTTTTCCAACCACAACCACAGTTTAGGCCTTCAAGAAATCTAACCTCTTCTCCTTCTCCTTCTAGCTTGACATTCTCAATATTCTTCTTCTTCTCCGGGATAGAGTTCTTCCTCTTGATGGTCCGAGGCCCCTCAATCTCAATACTAGGATACTCCTTTTTGTAGTCCTGGCTGATTCTGTTAGGTCGTGGAGTAGGGTCCACATTCTTACAAGAGAATGTAAATGTAAACAGAATGAGTAGCTCTATCTCTGTGATCTTTTGGTATATTATAACTGTCTGCATGGTGGCAAAATACAAGATAACATTACATATCTGATGTATGTTACATACTTAATGTGAATCTAATATTAAATCATTTACTATATTACATAGTAGTGGTGTTCCGATGATGGAAATAATCGAAAATCGATCGAAGGATTAAAAATAATTATCGATTGTAAGAAACATGTTTTCAATTAATAGGAATTTTGTTGTTTTAGTATAACACACTTGAATGAAGTAAACTAACCATTAAATTTCATAAATATTTTTTCATGCCTGCATTTCATGGCATGACACTATTAGTTATATAACACATTAATTTGAAAAAAACTGGGGAAAACCCCTTAAAATTGGTGACAACATTAAAAATGTATATATTTCGATTATAATCGATAATCATTCCCTATAAGTCCTCCAATAATCAATAGTGGATTTCGGTTCCGATTCCCAACACTATTACATAGTCGTATATCTAGGGAAAATATAATCCTAAAATAGACAATTTTCTTCAGACTACATCTATCCACACCACTTTGGAGACCAAAGTTTGGCTGAAATATTGAAAGAAGGAAAAAATATAATTGTCAAGGTACGCTATTTTAGTAATGACTATTGTTATGAAAGAGATAACTTGTATTTCGTTGAGTTGCTCAAAGAGTCTATAATGTGAAGTTTTACATATTTGCTTTGCATGAAATAAAAGGAAAATGAAAGTAAACACTTTTAAGAAAGTCAAAATATTGAAGAAACTAGTATTTACTCCATTTTGACTCCCAGGGTATTGATAAATCCTTGGACTATGTCAAATGAAATGGTAAGCCAGCCTTGAAACTCGGGACCCTTCTTGCTAAGAAATAAGTCACAAACATTATTCAGGCTCTCCTGTAAATCTGAAGCAGTGCAAAAGAATTCTAATTTCTAATTCATTCTGAGAAATATAAGAAAAAGCAATTGATATTGAAATTATTGCATAGCAATAATTGTTGTTTTCCCAAAAAGCTGAATAGGAAACTTGTCACACTTAAAATTGCTGATTTATTTAAGCAACGACAAGCTTTTTAAGATGAACCCAAAAGAATGTAAAAAACATAAGCCTAAATAATAAATAAATATATACCATATACACTGACCACCATATATTTAATTGGGTGTCTCAGTTAACTGTTGAGCTTTCGCCCACAAGAGTTATCTCCCTTAGCCTTCTTTATGTAAATAGATGAGAGTATGAAAACAAACTAATCACAATGTAATAAAGTGACAAATAGTTAGATAGTGAATATAATAGTAAGAGTGAGAAGTTACAACAGTAATCAAAGGTGATACATAGCGTTGAAAAGTTTAACATTTGTTTCTATCTTAAAGGCACAATGTCACACATTTTCGACAATATTTTGGCCTATATTATATATATTGGGCCATATGCACTCACTTTAGCTTCCTATTGATGCAATAAAAGACTTATTACCCCTTACGACTTGCCTGAAATTGATAATTGAAACTTTGAGGTGAACAGCTTCCAAACAGAGAACTCGTGCCATATATGGAATGTAAACAATTGCTCCGTAATCAAAAACTGTCCAACGCCGTGCTGTTGGTGTTTGCCGAACTGGTTTCAATCACAAGTTGTGCGTACGATAATAATAATCGTAAAGAGCTCCAAGGGACATAACTCTAAGGGCTCGCTTGAAATAATGTTCGGCTAGTAGAGAGTCGATTTAATGCTATGTTGCATTAATTCATTCAAACTTTTCAATTTAATATTGTAATCTAAATACATAATTTTCTAAAAAATAAAGCATATGGTAGTTTCCGTGAGGGCTGATAGTTAGTATCATTGAGAGAAATGCATTATTTATCTCGAGAAGTGTGGTGTGATATAGTGCCTTTAAGGACCACATGAACTGAATGCTTAGTTCAATCATGTCAATGTTACCTTTCTGTAAACAAATATAATGATATTAAATATAGGCAAATTAATTAACTGTAGTGACTTCTAATCCACTATCACAGGATCCTGGCACATCTAAGGGAAGCAATCCTACACATCTTACACCAACAGATACACCTTATCATAAAACAATCAAAACACTTGTTCTTAAATTCTTATTCATTCAGACAATTACCATTTTGTTACTGTGTCTCCATACCTATATTTTTATAGCTCTTGAAGCTCCATCATTTTAATTACATAAATTCATCTAAACAATTTAAAATGAAGCAAAAGAGAGAGAGAGAGCATAAAACAGATAATGGACACTTTCCATTACTGGAAAAAGCAACACAAGAGCTACTGGCTGGGATAACTACTTTCTACATATATATCAAATATAATGTATATAATATAAAGTAGAGATCTATAGGAAAAAAGCAAGACATGAAAAATACAAGATGGAATTGAAATTCAAGAAATGACTGAATAAAAGCTAAAAGTTGAAAAGATTGATTGGGGTTCGTTCACAGCCAACCTATTCAGAAGTTCTTCAGTTTTATTAATGTGTGTCAGCTTGAGTTGAGACTGTGCATGGGTTTAAGAAACTTTCGCAATATACCGAGTAATAAAAAAGCAGATGACACCAGAAGAGGGTTTTACAGATGACACACGTGGGGAATCAAAGTATATACTCAAACCTGGGAACTGGATCGATGAGTGAGGAATGGGTTTACTTTTTACACAGCTTTTAGCAAACTAACAGCAATATCATGGCGGGGGGACACCAGTCATGGCCTGCACATATTGTACCCATGTGGGGAATCAAACCTGGGTCTTCGGTGTGATGAGAGAACACTTTAACCACTAGGCCTACCCCATCACCCCAGAACTGAATTGATGAGTTAGTGAATTTAGTTTTACGCCGCTTTTAGCAATATTCCAGCAATATCTGGCAGGGGACACTAGAAATGGGCTTCACACATTGTACCTCATTCTCTTCCCACAGAGGTTACTTGTCATATCTTCCTACGAACCTCTGTTCTAATACAGCCATATTTCCCGGTTCTCGTAAAACCCTAGCGGCAAAAGATCGCAACATGAATTATCTCCCTTCTTTCTATCCAATCAGAACACGTATTACATCGACTTAGATTCAACTTGACTAACACAAGCAAATGTGGGGCCACAAATATCCCCCATCTGCCGGGGAATTGTGTTGATGTTACACACAAGACATTTAATGGCTAGCTTGTCCGTTGTCAACGAGGGCGATGGAGACGCCACTGATCCGCCATAACATGACTGAGTTCTGTCTAGAAGAAACGTTTGCGCATCGCGCAGGGGAAGAAATTTAGTTTTTCTCGAAGCATATGGAAATTACCGAGGCCTTGCGAATGATCACTTTTGAAACAATGTCGCTGATTGTACAACTAAATCTGATTGCCTCCAATCACGAGTCTTGAACGCTCACACCATGAAAGGGCCGTATTAGAACAGAGGTTACGTAGGAAGATATGACAGGAGTAACCTCTGTTGGAAGAGAATGATTGTACCTGGGTCTTCAGCGAAAAAAGTGAACACTTTAGCCAATAGCCTACCCCACTGTCCCATAGCAGATTTCTGTGGGACAGTGGAATGACAGGCAGTAGAAACACAGACATTTATCACTTCCGTAAAACCCATATGCATTATACTGACAAATCTAACCCAAAAAAATCAGGATTTGAACCAACAGGTTTTTGGCACATCAAAGAGATACAACTCTTATCGAACAGGGTGCCGTTCCTCAAGCCGATCGTAACCTAAGACAATCGTAACTCCCATACTTTAACATAGACTTACGACTGTCCTAGCGCTACGATCGATTTGAGGAACGGGACCCAGTTCTTTAGAAAAATGGCCAAGCTTGTCACAGTGAAAGAAAAGAGAGTGAGTGACAGTGGTGGTCTACACTACAGCCTGGGTATTGAGTGTCAATGAACGGCTCCTTGACAGCAGAGAGGATGGTTTAAGAAACAACGATATAATTTGGTGAGTGTTACCTCCAGGATTGTTGGCTCCTATACAATTATAAACAAAATAGGTTTTAATATCATCTTGTGGAATATACGACAAATCGATCAAAGCAGTTTATGATTGTCGCAGTTCATTTTTACAAATTTGTTCTTAACATGTTCACATACAATATATAAGATTTACAGATATATCTCAAGTAGTAATTTTGGAAGTGGATATTACACTAGACCCTCTGCAAACAATGGAAGAATATTGTTATAATTGTTGCACACACTCTGGTAGAAGTTCTAGAAAGTGGTTAAAAATGATCAAGTGCCTGGATGAATGGATGGGTTGTGGTCATCTGAACAGTTAACAATCATAATGTCTTATTATGTGTGAAAATTCAGTCAGTCAGTCAGTCAGTCAGTCAGTCAGTCAGTCAGTCTATGTGAGTGTCAGTCAGTCTGTGTGAGTGTCTGTCAGTCAGTCAGTCTGTGTGAGTGTCTGTCAGTCAGTCAGTCTATGTGACTGTCAGTCTGTCAGTCAGTCTGTGTGTGTGAGTGTCAGTCAGTCAGTCTGTGTGAGTGTCAGTCAGTCAGTCAGTCAGTCAGTCTGTCTGTCTGTCTGTCTGTCTGTGTGAGTCAGTCAGTCAGTCAGTCTGTCTGTCTGTCTCTGTCAGTGTCTGTCTGTGTGTGTGTCTGTGTCTGTCTCTGTGTGTGTGTGTGTGTGTGTGTCTGTGTGTCTGTGTCTGTGTGTGTGTGTGTGTGTGTGTGTGTGTGTGTGTGTGTGTGTGTGTGTGTGTGTGTGTGTGTGTGTGTGTCTGAAATGGTGTTATCATATTTGGGACTTTTGCACTGCTTTAGTGTTGTTCATGCAAGTGAGAGTGGTGTGTCTGCTGGCACCTGTCCAGACAAATGAGATCCCATGCTGCAGTTCAACATGGCCATCCCATTCTCACACAGGCAGCAAGTCCTTGATTTACCCCTTTAATGCCGATCACCAGGCAGGGTAACAAAAATTACCACCTCTTAACATATTTAGGCAGGAATGAGATGAGGATGGCTCATACAATGAATCATCACTGACACAAGCAGACATGTAGAAGATCAACCATCTTTGTAGACATAACAGATAACATGTTCTGACTTGGAAATGTAATAAATGATCTTTAATGAGATCAGTATTAAATGTATAAGTACCTTGGATGTGCCATTGTCCTCCCATTGCTGTGAGTGTGGCCTGTCTGGGTGGATTGGCATCGGTTCTTGGGCAGTCACCTCCCTCTTGTCTCCCCATGCCTGGGTTCGAGTCTCTTTAGCTGATTTCTAAAAGAAATACCAGAACATACAAAACAAAACAACTTCATACTTGCCTTATTCAGAACAGAAAACAACCCCTGATGACATCAGATAATTAACTGCCCCCTTGTGAATGAGTGAGTGAGTTGGGTATTACACTGCTTATAGCAATATTCAAGGAATTATCACAGCGGGGTAACTGCCCCCATGTGACATAAAACACAGTGGACATCCCATGTGACATCTAACCCAGTGAACACCACCTTGTGGCATCCAACACAGTGAACACCGCCTTGTGGCATCTAACACAGTGAACACCCCTTGTGACATCCAACAGTGAATACCACCTAGTGATATCCAACACAGTGAACACCACGTAGTGGCATCCAACACAGTGAACACCACCTTGGGGCATCCAACCCAGTGAACCCTCCTATATGACATCCAACCCGGTGAACACCCCTTGTGACATCCAACCTGGTGAACACCCATATATGACATCCAACCTGGTGAACACTCATATATGACATCAAACACAGTGAACACCCCTATATGAAATCCAACCCAGTGAACACCTATTGTGACATCCAATCCAGTGAACACCGCCTTGTGGCATCTAACACAGTGAACACCCCTTGTGACATCCAACAGTGAATACCACCTAGTGATATCCAACACAGTGAACACCACGTAGTGGCATCCAACACAGTGAACACCACCTTGGGGCATCCAACCCAGTGAACCCTCCTATATGACATCCAACCCGGTGAACACCCCTTGTGACATCCAACCTGGTGAACACCCATATATGACATCCAACCTGATACATCCAACGAGTGAACACCAACCTGGTGAACACTCATATATGACATCAAACACAGTGAACACCCCTATATGAAATCCAACCCAGTGAACACCTATTGTGACATCCAACCCAGTGAACACACCTACATGACATCCAGCACAGTGAACACCCCTTGTGATATCCAACACAATGAACACACCTAAATGACATCCAACCCAGTGAACACCCCTTGTGATATCCAACACAGTGAACGCCTCTTGTGACATCCAACACAGTGAACACACCTACATCACATCCAACCCAGTAAACCCCCTATATGACATCCAACACAATGAACCCCCTAGTGACATCCAACACAGTGAACACACCTACATGACATCCAGCACACAGTGACCCCTATGACATCCAACACAGTGACACACCCCTTGTGATATCCAACACCTTGTGACACACACCTACATGACATCCAACACAGTGAACACCCCTATATGACATTGTGAACACCCCTTGTGCTATCCAACCCAGTGAACACCCCTTGTGACATCCACCTACAGTGACATCCAGCACACAGTGAACACCCCCCTATATGACAACCAACACAGTGAACACCCCTTGTGACATCCAACACAGTGAACACCCCTTGTGACATCCAACACAGTGAACACTTTTGTGACATCCAACACAGTGAACACACCTACATGACATCACTACAGTGAACACCCCTATATGACATCCAACCCAGTGAACACCCCTTGTGCTATCCAACCCAGCGAACACCCCTTGTGACATCCAACACAGTGTACACCCTGTATGACATCACACAGTGTACAATCTGTATGACATCCAACGCAGTGAACCCCCTTGTGACATCCAACGCAGTGAACACTCCCATATGACATACCTTCTTCTCTTCCTCCATGGCCTTCTTCCTGGCCTTGGCAAGGATCTTGGAGGTGCCAGGTGGGTGGGCTTTCTCCTTGGCCTGCTGCTCCTTCTTCAGTATCATGGAGGCTGACAGGGGCTGGGTGAACGGGCTGTCTGTCTTGGTGTCTTCCTCATTTACTGGAACATGCAGAAGACTCGGCTACATAGGCGTGTCAATGAGATGTATTAACTGGACTGATCACATTAACAAATTAAATTAGCCCTACACTGAGGGCACTAATGTACAGAAGCAAACTCCTGAGAGTTGACAAAACTGTTAATGTCCAATGCCACCCAGCAGTTGTATAGCAAGTTTTGACAAACCAATACCCTATGTCCCCACTACCTTGATGATCTCCACTACCTAGGGTTGGTGAAGCAGGTCCAGCCAAGACAAACCAATACCCCCTACCTTTGATGCCCTCCGCCACCCAGGGTTCATGAAGCAAGTCCAGGCAAAACAAACCAATACCCCATGTCCCCCCTTCTTTTGATGCCCTCTGCCACCCATGGATGGTGAAGCAGGTCCGGCCAGGACAGACCAATACCCCATGTCCCCCTACCTTTAATGCTCTCCGCTACCCAGGGGTAGTGGAGCAGGTCCGGCCAGGAGTACCCATACCCCATGTCCCCCCTACCTTTAATGCCCTCTGCCACCCATGGATGGTGAAGCAGTTCCGGCCAGGACAGTCTCTGGCGTGGGTTCTTGTTTAGGAGACCCTGAAGGAAGTCCTTGAAGGGAACACTCATGTTCTTTGGCCACTTGACCGGGTCCTTGATGATCATGTTGACCAGCTGGAAGATGCTGTTTGTGTAGAATGGTGGAGCCCCAGTGAACAGCTCATACAGGATACAGCCGAGAGCCCTGGTCAGGTGGAAAGTGGACATAATGGAATATTAGCATGGTCTTTAAAGGCACACTTTCATACTTCATACTGAAAATTTACCAGCAAGTCAGGCCAGTGACTGTGGAGGTTTACTGGCCCGATTGGATTTTTACTAGCCATGGGCTAGCGGGCCAGTGGCTATTTCGCACACAGCCTAGGGGGAACACTAACACTGATAATATTAGCCACACCATATCTGTCATGAAACTGCCATAAGTTCCCTTCACATTTCTTCTTAATAAAGTTATCAACTCACCACAAGTCTGCAGTGTGATCATATGGTTTCTCCTCCACCAACTCGGGGGACATGTACAGTGGAGTTCCCTGTAAACATGAACACATATATATGTCTGCAACAAAAGCTATCCGTCTACCCAGTTGAGAGAATGTAATGCTATTTATAGAGTCAAACTTGAAATACTAGAGAATTTGCAAAAGCTGGTTGTTTGACAGTTCTGATTTGCATTTCAAATGTGTTTTTATTCATTTGTTTTAACACCAATATTACTGGTAATATAATATAGTGTATGAACTATGATAAACGTAAGGGAAGCAACTCTGCACAGTGTAATGTGTTTCCTTGCACTACTGCCCCTTCAAGAGTTCATTCATAGAGATTATTACTAGGGGTGACTATTGAGGGGGAAACAACTATTGCGATAGCGATAGTCTATTGCGACCAACTATTGCAATACTCCCAAAGTAACATTTCATTGACACTAGAACGAGTTTCACCATGTTCACAACCCATGTGGTCCTAAGCAACAAACATAGTGAGTGAGTGAGTTAACTTTTACGCCGCACTCGGCAATATTACAGCTATATGGCGGCAGTCTGTAAATAATCAAGACTGGACCAGACAATCATGTGATCAACAGCATGAGCATCGTTCTACACAATTTGGATACAATGACATGTGTCAAGCAAGTCAGCGAGCCTGACCACCCGATCCCGTTAGTCGCCTCTTACCACAAGCATGGGTTACTGAAGATCAATTCTAACACGGATCTTTGCGGGTCTATTTTGAGACAGGTATTTTCTTCACCTTTATAGACGTGAGGACAAACGTGTTGAAGCTCATGGCCCTAGCAAATCCGAAGTCACAGAGTTTGACACAGCCTCCCTTGCCCAGCAGGATGTTCTGGGGCTTCATGTCTCGATGGAGGATACGATGGGAGTGGAGGTAGAAGAGAGCGGACACAAGATGGCAGGCAATCAACTGAACCTGGAACAAAGACAAAGTCATTGCGTGAGTGAGTGAGTGAGTTTAGTTTTACACCACACTCAACAATATGCCAGATGGCGGCAGTCTGTATATAATCTATTGCAACATACTACTGCGATAGGGATAGTCTATTGCAACAAATATAGAATTTTTTTAAGGATAACAACTTCTTGAGTGATCACTCCTGCTTGACAACGGTACACTAATCTGTATCGAAACGTAGCACTCATGAAATACAGAAGTTGTTATCCATAAAAATTGTTTTATATTGTACATCTCAACTTCTTAAATGCCACTCAAACAAGTTATTGCAATGAACTATTGCAATACTATTGCATTAGTTTCTCTCCTTGAATTGTCTCATTTCCCCAAATGAATGTATAGTTTATACGAAATAAAAACAAGTTGAAGTAGTTTCAGTCTCTTTCAATAACTGACAAGAAACTTGAAACCCAAATCAAGTAAACAGTTAAAACATAAACTTATTGTTATTCACAATTTCAAACACTGAGTTGCATGCCGTGTTTGCCGCCATGTTTGTTTAAGAGGGGCAGATAACTCTAAATCAAAGTGAACGAATTTAGTACTTCCTGTATTTTGCGCTTCGCATTTATCAACAGAAGACAATTCCTACACTATCGCTAGTCACACATACTATTGATGCATCGATAGGTTTTCGTTTCTACCAGTGATTAATTGCTATCGGAGACTCAACAATTGCAATCCATCGATAGTTTGATTCATTGTTACAGCACCAATGTCAAGTATAGATAGCTGGGGAAGTATTCTAACCCAGATTCTCCACAGCGCTAGCATATACTGCACCTGTTCTTCGGGTAAATTCCCATCATCTTCCAGGATCTGAAACAATTCACCCTGAGCGTAGTCTGTCACCACCACAACCTGGAGATAGAAACATGAATTTAAAAAATCAAACAAATGCAGCTATGGGACATAGTGCTTACATGTCCATACTAATCTTTTTCATTAGCTGTTAATATTGTCAAATAAAACATGGTAGGAATGCCAAATGCATGGTCAGGTTTCACTTCCAAGTTTCAAAAGAATCTAACATATAAATGCTGTTGTCACTGTGGGGAAAGAAACATGTACCACGTGGTGAGTTTGAGTGAGTTTAGTTTTACGCCACCTTTAGCAAAATTCCAACAATAAAAATATTCACAGCAGGGAACACCAAAAGTGGGCTGCACACATTGTACCCATATGGGGATTTAAACCCAGGCCTTCGTCATGACAAGTGAAAACTTTAACCACCAGGCTACCCCTTGTTCTCTTACTATTTGATGGTCAGAGTTTACTAACCCTTACTACTGCATGGTCAGATTTTATGACAAGCAAATACCGTAACAACTTAGTTACCCCACTGCCCCACATGGTACAAATATCTAAATGCAATGTAATTTCTATACTTGACTTACCTCCTTGTCTGTTTCAAAACTATCTAACATTTCAATGATATTGTCATGATGCAGGCCACGCATGATCTCAATTTCCCGACGCAAACTCCGTAGCTCCTTTTCAGACTTGCCAAACTTGGGGATAAACTTGAGGGCAACAATCTTAACAGGAACAAAAAGTATTTTTTGATGAATCCTTAGAATATTGTTACAGCTAGCCAGCCCGATGTCTGGTAAAATATTTAGATGTAATATAGATCTGAGTAATATCTGAGTAATATTACCAGCCCTGATGTCTGGCTGGGGTTTTGGCTTATTTTATACACTGCATCATGTTACATAAATATCTTCTCCTTGATAATTGTGGTCAGACTTCTACATGATCTACAGTATAGCATTCTAAATCTTTTTTAAACAAACATATATTGAACTTTAATGATTTGATTTTTCAGAAACTTTCATGATGTAAAGAACTAAATGAATTCTAAAAGATAAAAATATAATCTCAGTTAGTCACAAACACGCATTAAGAAGGACTGTCTCTCACGTAGGCTACATGTTACATCCTCTACTATATGTTAGCCGCAAAGACAATACAACCTACCTGGCCTGTGTACTTTTTTCTGCCCTTGTAGACCTTGCCAAATGATCCCTCCCCAATAATATCCAGTACGTGGTAGTTGTCCATCTTATGCACAGTTTGATATTTGGAGCATCAAGTTTCAATGAACAGGCATAACCTGAAAATTAAACATGTCACACAAAGGTAGTACGACACTGTACACTTTTTTCCATCAAGTACAGATTCAAGTATGTTTTGGGGTTGAAACTCTCAGAGTTAGGCACCTAACTGACAGCAAAGACACCAATTTAACTCACAGATGCACCACGTTTTGAACACTTTCTAAAAGGCATTGACACCATAATATTTGTCACACACAAAGACAGGACACTCTGCAAATAAACGATTTCGTGGTGCTAGATCTACTGCGTCTGCGACTGGAACTAAATACCAAACAGCATTATCCATTCACTATCAAAAACAGACATGGACAGTGCAAAAAGATTGTGCCAAACATTATAATTCCATTTCTTTGCTTTCTTGATTGAGCGTTGTGGATTTCCGTATCACGTTTGACCAGGGATGAGCGTCAGTTAATATTCACAAAACTGACCCATACTGATGAAATATTTTAAACTGAGAATGCGTGACTACTGAATACCTGAGAATGACAGCTTTTTGTCGGTCTAAAATAAGAACCTAGATAGGCGATATCATCGTAACCAAAGAAAACAATTTCTCGCCGCCATCTTGTTTGTATCGCGTTCCATTCTAAGCTCCAGGCAGCATTTTGCTGGGCCTCGGTAGCATGAGCGCTGTACTGGAGTTTATTAGGCAAAAGACGGTCTCATTCGTAACTACTCGCCTCTTTCCGTGAGCTACAAGAAGACTCGCACCCCATTCGTGACCCACTCGTGTTATTCCGGGACAAGCCGAATACCGAAGGGGCGAGTGGTGACGAATGACTCGCACCCCTAAAGTACGCCATTTTTGCCAAGAATCGTGGCAAACCAATCAAATCGCGCGTAGTAAAACGCATTTCGAAGCATGAAATTGGCGGCACCGTTGAAGTTTGAAACTTCGCTAAACTATGCAAAGCACAATTTAAACATAAACTTTGAGCTAAAGGAACAGAAACACTGAAACATTTACAAAGGGAATGACTATTGATGTTTTGCCCCCGGGATATAGGATATTCAAGGAGCCATGTTTGGAAATTCAGAGTTATCTTTCCTTGGTAATAGTGCTAGACTATTTTCATCTCCATGCCCGTTTGCGCTTAGACAAGGCCCAGTCGTAAACATGGCCACGAGAGGGGTACGAGCCGCCATCCGGCTTGCCGGAATGACACGAGTAGTTACGAATGAAGGCGGTCTCTGTGAGCATTATCAGCCTCGAGCGCCAACGTTATGTTTTCGTATCTATAGACATTTCTCTCTATTTCAATTGTTCGTTAATCTTTTTGGAAATTAAATTTCTATTGTTTCAATAACTTCCACGGTATTTCAGTTCTTCCCTCGTAATTTTATACGTTTTAGGAAAAAATAATCAATATTACAAGTTATTTCTTAATTTGTTACTTGAAGTATTTTTTTTCAAATATACTCTGCAAAAAAAGAAACGCACAGGTGAAAACACAGGAATGTAAACACTTTATTTTGTTTCCAAATAAAACTTTAACTAATGATCGCACGAACGTAAAATTTCACATGGATGTTGTCAAGAGTCAGCTTTACAACATGCAGCTATCATTTGTCTCTGAAACCATTGCACCGGGCGTACAGATGGCGTGGAGGTCAGTACCTGTTGTGACCACCTCGAGCTTGCAACACAGCTTGGCACCTCCTGTCCATGGACATGATCAGTCTTTGAATCCGTGCTTGGGGGATCCTCCTCCATTCCTCCTGCAAGGCTTGAGGCAGTTGTTGCAACGTTTGGGGTTGAGGCTGACGACGTCGAACGCGTTTCCCAAGCTGGTCCCACAAATGCTCTATTGGGTTCAAATCGGGGATTTTGAAGGCCAGGGAAGAACTGTGATGTTCTGATTCGTCAGGTAGTCCATCGTGATGCGAGCCACGTGCGGTCTGGCGTTGTCCTGTTGGAAAACGTGACGTTGAGGGTTGATGACAGGTAAAAGATGACGTTGCAGAATTTCATCCCTGTAACGAATTGCAGTCAGGTTACCACGGACGTGCACCAAGTCACTTCTCCCGTTGTAAGAAATGGCCCCATACCATCACACTTCCCTCCAAATCTGTCCGCTTCAACTACACAATTACGGGCGTAACGTTCGTTTCTCCGTCTATAGACCCTCGTCCTACCATCGTGTCTTTGAAGTTGGAAACGAGATTCGTCGCTGAACCAAATTCGCTGCCAATGTCTCCAATTCCATCTCTGGACGTTCCTGTACCATCGAACACGTGCCAGGCGATGATGAGGTCGTAGTGTGCATCCTACGTGAGGTCGTCGAGGGCGTATCCCGTGCTGTCTGAGGCGATTTCTGATGGTCTGGGCGGAGACGCGGCGAAGACCTGGGACGTTCTCTGCTGTTTGTGTTGCTGGGACGGCCCGGTTACGTAAATGGAACACCCGGATGTAGCGGTCCTGTGCAGCATTGGTTACCCGTGGTCTACCACTCCGAGGTCGGTCGCGGGTCGAGCCCAGTTGATTGTAGCGCCTCCATAAACGGGAAATTGTTGTGTGATGCACGTTGAAGTGTCTTGCAACTGATGACTGAGATTCGCCAGCTTCAAGACGTCCGATGGCGATGTTCCGGTCAGCTTCGCTAAGTCGTGGCATGTTGAATTCGTCAGTAAACTGGCGTTGAAAGTGAATTGAACACGTTAAACTGCCTTCCTCATATACCCTACACACTGGTGCATAGGTGAAGCAACTTTCACGTGCATATCGTTCGAAGTGTCATTTACACGTGAAAATTTCATGATATTTTCAAAAAACCATCATCAAACAACAATATTTCATGAAATGGTGTGTTTGAGCGATACTTAATGGATATGAACAAGTATACATTATGTTTGGTTAAAGTAACCGGGTTTTGTTTGCATAGAAATAAAATAAAGTTAATTTTAAATTTCATTATCACCTGTGCGTTTCTTTTTTTTTGCAGAGTATACTAATATCAGGTTAGTCATTACTTCGATTATTTTCTCATTTCGATTATTTCAGTTTCTTAAGTTTCGAAAGTAGATTTGAAATAACTAGAAAAATCGGAATCGATGTAAAGAGACAAACAATCGAAACTTATAGAAAATAGTTGACATAGCAAAACATTTTTGATTGAAGCAATATATTGTTTTCAAAATTAGTGTTTGATTGTTATAATTTCGCCGTTATAATGCTGGTTTGTGTACATGGAAAGACTTAACTGCGCAAAAACGCACTTGAAGGCACTTTCAAGTGTCAACTTGCCTGAAAATGTCATGGAGAAAAGGTGGTTCACAATATACACCTGCAGTTCTGAGGAATCATTAGCAGGAACATTGCCCATATAAGGCCGTTTTGCTTTTTGACGTCATTGGCATGTTTTAGCCATAGGCGCCCGACTCTGATATATGTGTAAGCTATAGGCCATGCTTACACATATTTGAATGGAATTTTATAGATAAAGCATTAGAATCCTTTAACTTCGGGCCCTCTTTTCGAAAATGGGTCAAACTATTCCAATCAAATATCTGCAGTGCTACTATTAATGCTGGCCACATATCAAATTATTTCAATCTTGGTAGAGGCTGCAGACAAGGGGATCCGTTGTCGCCATATTTGTTTCTCGTGTGCGCTGAATTACTTTCAAATGCAATTTAAAATAATAAAAACATAAAAGGTATTGACATAAATGGTGTAACGTATACAATATTCCAATATGCGGACGATGCAAATTTTACTCTGGATGGAACAGAGACTAGTCTTGCTGAACTAGTATCTATACTGAAAGTATTTGCTGTATGCTCAGGATTAAACATAAATTGTGATAAAACTAGAACAATATGGATAGGATAAAAAAAACATAGCAATGAACAACTCTGCCCACATATCCCTATGCAGTGGTCCAAAACCTTTCAAGATCTTAGGTATTATTTTTGATACAAATCTAACTGCGATGACTGAAATGAACTTTACTATACAATTTGAAAAAACAAGAAAAGCTATTTTCTCATGGGCAAAGAGATGTCTCACTCTTAGAGGCAAGATCACTATTCTTAAATCACAAATATTGCCACTATTCAGACATCTCTTCAGTTCTCTTCCAAGTCCAGACAAAGAATCCTTCAAAAGACTAAACTCTCTGTTCTATCAATTTGTATGGTCTGGTAAAAAGGGATAAAATAAAGAGAACAATGGTTATAAACGAATACGAAAACGGTGGACTGAAAATGGTGAACGTGGAAATGTTTGATAAATATATGAAAATAATTTGGATCAAACGATTCTTATCATCGGAAGGCCCATGGCAATCTTTAGTGAATGAAATTTTTCGCCCATATGGGAACACAGCAATCTTCAACTTCCAGAAAAAACAATTACAATGTATAATTAAAGTACTGAAAAATAAATTTTGGCAAAATGCCATTTTCAGCTACAGCCATGTAGCAAACGAAAAAGTAACAACCATCCATGAATTCGTGAAACTTCCCATTTTAAATATGATAAAACTACATGATATTAAAACAAGTTGAAAAATGACCTTATATATATATATATAATTTATAAAGAAAGCAAAAGTGACATGCTGAAACGATTAATATCGTCAAAAGACAGTAAGTTCATCTACCAAACATTATGTGGTAAGGTTAGAGCCACATTAAACAACATTACAAATAAATGGGAATCCAAACTAGACATGCAAATCTCAACAGACTTTATGTCAAAGTATTTTTCTATTATCAACAACTGTTGCGTTGATAATAAGACAAGAAATTTTCAGTACAAAATTCTTCATCGCATTTTACCAACTGTTAGATTTTCATTCCTGTTTTAAACAGGACATATATCAGTTGGCAGTCATATTCATAGTCCAGCGACTACTTCCAGCTATTCAAACAGGCTTATTGACAAACATAAGGGCTCTATCACACATCCTTTCAATTCCTGTGTGTCAAATCACCAGTTGCAATACAATACCGCACATGTGCACTACGTAATCAATACCACCATTAGAATGAAGGCAAACGAATCACAATGGCTCCCGTTACCTGAATTATTTACAGTTCTTTATTCAAACTATACATGTAGTATTTCAATGAAGCTGTATCGACCTTGTTATGTGGTGGTAATATTTTTACAGCGTCTTTATCAATTCGATGCTTTAATTATAGAACATGTCATCTTGTCCATGTTACAAACATCGTAGAAATAACGATGAAATGAACAACTGAAAAGCCTCAGCTAGACTTGCGATGTCAGTCAAAATGTAAGCCATGCAATGAAAGAAACAGTTTAAACACGATGTACTACGGGACACACATTGATAATTAATACCTGACGCCCATGGTCTGAGATAATGCTAATACGAAGCATTGTCCCAATTGTAATGATTAAAATGAAATTCTGCCTTTCAGTTGACATATACAACTTTAGAAGTGTCACGTTTCATGCTCGTTTATTTTGGGTGTATTTTGGCAGGGATGGATGGCAGCCTTAATGTGGGAACAGATCTCTCAAACACACCATTTCATACATGTGGAAAACATGCATTTGATTCTCAATATCTGCTGACCGCCTCCGTGGTGTAGTGGTTAGAGCGTGTGGAATTCTATTACAGCTATGTGGGTCGCTGTATTTCTGCCAATGGGACAACGTATATGTCATAAATCACTACCTGTAAATACATGTAAAAGAAACACTCGTAGTGCATT